GGAGGCTGAGCAGCAGCTGGTGCGTGTGGAACACTTTGGGCTCGTCGGAGGCGGCCGAGCGGACCCGCAGCACCGAGTCGCTGCCGTTGCCGTTCTGCAGCAGCTCCTGCAGCCGCTGCAGCAGCGTCAGCGAGTGGTTGATGGTGGCCGCCGTGGAGTCCCCGCTAAAGTCGGCTTTTTGGGCTGCAGGGAGATGGGACCGTCCCAGAGCTGCACCCCAGTGCCGGGTACTGAGCTGGGCTGGGGTTACCGGGGGGGCTGTGCACCTCCTGCCTCCACTTCCCCAGTGCCAAAGGGCTGCTGGTGCCAAGGGAGTGTGAGGGAACAAAGGACGTGGGGACGGTTGTGTTCCCGAGAGCCAAAAAACTGCCTTTCTGCAGCAGAAGGGCTGGGACCACCATGTCCCAGGCTGGGGTGTGCTGGGAAATGGCCGGGTGCCGGCGGCACTGGCTCTCAGCCCGGTTTGCCTGTCCTGATCCCGTCCCCGCTGTGGGCAGAGGGAGCTCCGGGCATTGCCCCGAACTCTCACATCCCTGATGGATACATGGGGGTACAGAGAGCCCTTGGGCTTGGGGAGCCAGGCACGCTCTGCCCCACAGCCAGGAATGGGGTCCCGAGCAGCCTGGGGTCACCAGCTACCCTGGTGTCACTTCAGGGATCCCAACAGGGACTGGAGAGGGATCTGGGAATGTGGAACAGGGGTCTCCATGCTCCTGTGGGCACTGGGATCCTTCCTTCCTCTCCTCAGTCTTGACACCACTCCACCCGGCCCTCGGAGCATCTTTCCTCCAGGAGGAATTTGGCCCCGTCTGTCTCAAATCCATCTTCCTCCTCAAATCCCGTCTTGCCGACGGATTACCCTTCCCAGCGCCGGCTTAAGGCCGGGGAATGAGGAAGGGGAGCGGGGATGAGGAAGGGGAGCAGGCGCCCTGTACCCCGCGGCACCGAGCCCTTCCCGGGGTACCCACCAGCGAGCACAACCCTGCTCCGAGAGCTCGGCACACCCAGGAGCCACTTCCATCCCCTCGGGCACCCCGAGGGCAGCGGAGAGCCGCGCTCCGCTCTCCATCAGCCGCCGAGCCGCACCCCGGCACCCGGCGAGGGCAGCGTCGCCCGCGCCTCGGGGACCCTCCGCGCCTTCCCCCGCGCCACGGCCGCCCTTACCGGCTTGCACGGTGAGGAGGAGGAGGAGGAAGGCGGCGGCAGAGCCCCAGCGGCGGGTGGCCGCGGGCCGGGTGCCCGTCAGCCTGGCCATGGCGTCGCAGGCGCATCTGCCGGGTGCCGCGCACGCTGCGCGCCCGCCGCTTATGTAGGCCACGCGCCCTCCCGGCCCGCGGGCCCGCGCCGCCGCATCGATTGGTGGAAACTGGGACCGGCCGTTGCCACGGGAACGGCTTCCAGCCCCCCCGCATCCCACCGGGACCCCCGGCCCCGGCCCCGCAGCCCCGGGCGCTCCGCAGCGGGGACGGCGCCGTGCGGGACCCGGTGCTGGCGGCACCGCCGCACGGAGCCCCACGCGCGGCCGCGGCGCTTTGTGCCGGGGGCTTTGCATTCAGGGCACAGCTCGGTGGCCTCCCGCTCCCCCCGGCTCATGGGTATTCATGCCGGCAGCGGCCCATCACCATGGCATCCGCGCTGCCGGCAGGAACTGCCTGCCCTTTTCCCAGCCTTTGCAGCCAAGAGGCCGCCCGGGCGCCCTGTGCGGCCTCCCTGGCCCCCCGCCCGCCCCGACACCTCCTGGGGGGCTTCACCGCCGGGCTGGGGCCCCCCAAAGCCCCAGAGCACAGCAGCAGGATGGGGCGGTGCTGGGTGGGCAGGGAAGGGGCAGCGGGTGTCGGCCAATGGCGCCGATGTCACTGGAGCTGTGACCCCGTGGGGACGCAGGAGCAGGACCCCAGGCGGGGGACACATCCCACAGAGGGGCCACATCCCACAAGGGCACAGCTCCCCTCACCCACTGCCGAGGAGCCCCGTGCCCTGCACAGCCCTCTGAACGCGGGCTTAGACACGCTTCCAGATGTTGGGCGTGGGCAGATGTTGCAGCAGCTGCCGAGGGGGTGGCATCGCCATCTGTCCCTGACCCTTGGGCGCGGAGATTCAGCACAAGACACCGAGCAGCCCCAGGCCGCGGTGCTGCGGCTCCCTGGCCCCTTGCAGGGACGGGCAGGGGGCGATGCCCAGCCCTGGGCACCCCCAAAGCCGCGGTGCCAGCAGAGCCCCCGGCCCGGGGGGGTTGTCCCTGCACCGTGGGGCCACGGGGACCGGGCCCCGGCGCGGCACAGCCGGTTCACGGCTCAGCGCCTCCTCCGACGCCTCATTTCACCAGCGCCTGATAAACAACAGCCTGCGGAGCGTGTGCCCGGCGCTCCAGGGGCACCGTGCCAGCCCGGGCGGCGGCCACGGCCCGGGGACCCCCGTGTTGGGCTGCTCAGGGCCGTGGGGGGACACGGGGCGGCGTGGGGCTGGTGCTGGAGGTCGCCAGGGGACAGGGTGACCCCTGCCCGTGTGCGGTGAGGTGAGGGAGCAGCCGTGCTGGCTGAGGGCTGGCTCACCATAGCGACCTGTGCCAGGCGGCAGTGCCAGGGCATCGCCCCGCGGGCTGGGGGGCACCGGGGAGACGGAGCTGGACCCAGGGACCGGCAGGGGACAGCGGGGCCCCCCCTGTGCTGCTGGGGAAACTGAGGCGCGGTGTCCGGGCAATGGGCACTTGGAGCAGCCAGGGCAGAGCCCGGCAGGGACGCGCAGGCAGCGCACACGGATTCACGCCCGTGTGCACTCGCGTCACACGCTGTGCACACCCGCTCCTCCTGTCCCCAGAGGCGGCAGCGGCCCAGCTGCCCCCGGAGCGCCATCCCTGCTGCTCTGGGGAGGGGACGAGCTCTGTCACGGCCACCGGAGCTGCCCAGGTGACCCTTCCCGGCCTCCGAGGGCCGCTGGTGACGTCCCCGTGCCCTGCCCGCGGCTCTGCCCACGGCTCTGCCCACGGCGCGCTCCCTCCGCCCCGTGCCCCGCGCCCCGGGAGGCTGTGCCATGCTGCGGGTGCCCGCGGGCACCGGGACACGGGCAGGGACACCGGCAGGGACACGGGCAGGGACACGGAGCCCGCACAGGACACGGACACCGGCAGGGACACACGGACACTGACCGGGACACACGGACAGCGGTATGTCCCCGGCAAACACCGAGCCCAGGGAAGGCGGCACTGCACGCCCGGCGGGTGGCACTGGGGTGACAGTCCCTGTCCCGCAGGTTTGGGGAGCGGGGACTGGGCAGGGGGAGCAAACGGGGCCCAGAGCGATCCCACCCCCCCAGCAGCACAAAGGGGATCGGGCTGGGAAAGGGTTAAGGCGCCCGAGCCGCAGCTGCAGCCGATCGATGCCTCAGTTCCGCGGGGGACGTGCATGGACGGGACCTCCTGCTGACGAACCGGAGCTAATTTGCAGTTAATTGGCACCCCTGGGCTCCCCCCATCCTCCCCCTTCTTCTCCCTCGGGCTGCGCTCGGGATCTTGCTGGGGTTCCGGGAGTTGCAGGGTCGGGGAGGTGGGACCCCCGGGATCCCACACACGCCTCGGGCACTTCTGGGGGAGCAGATCCATCACCGGGGCTCCCGGAACGGGAGAGAGACCTGACCTCCCCTCCAACCCCGGCCCCGAAGCCATCGAAGGGGACAAGGGGAATTTGGGGTGCCCCTGGGGCCAGGGTCGGACTGGGAGGAGTGTGGTGCCCCGTACCCCCTCCTTGAGCTCAGGATTCCCCTTTACATCCCAGGATCCCAAGATATCCCCCTCCCAAAGAGCACCCCACAACCCCCGGGCCCCGGATCCTCCTGCACCCCAGAACCCCGATCCCAGGACCCCCAGGACCTCCCGCACCCCAGAACCCCCCGATCCCAGGACCGCCCCCCATCATCCCGCGCTGGGACCGAGGGTGGCGGTCCCTATGAGATGCAAATTTGGGGAGGATTCTGACCAATCAGAACGCAGCGCTCAGCTCTGGCCTCACCCCTCCCGAGGATCCCCTCTCCGATTGGGTGGAGCCGGGTTCCCCTAAACCAATAGGAGCGCAGAGTTCGGGAGGGGGTGGAGCCGCCCTGGTTTATGAGTGGGCGAGGGCAGCGCGGGCACGATCCGGGCGTGGGGAGAGGGCAGAGGGATGGGGCAGGGAGCGGGGCAGGGATGTGACACAGATGGGGCAGGGATGTGGCACAGATAGGGCTGGGATGGGGCAGGGATGTGGCACAGATTAGGCAGGGATGTGGCACAGATGGGGCAGGGATGTGGCACAGATAGGGCAGGGATGGGGCACAGATAGGGCTGGGATGGGGCAGGGATGTGGCACAGATTAGGCAGGGATGTGGCACAGATGGGGCAGGGATGGGGCACAGATAGGGCAGGGATGGGGCACAGATAGGGATGCGGATACGGATCAGGATCCGGATCCGGGCGGGGCCATGGGCAGGGCTCCTCCAGCTCGGCTGCCCCAGCCTGAGGAGCTGGAAAAGGACCCAGCTGGCAGCCTGGAGATGGCCACCCCACACTTGGCACCGCTAAGACTACCCATCGGCACCTCTGGGTCCTCTCTGCCACCGCTGGGAGTCATCGGGTGGCACCCAGCCCGGGCTGGGCGCCAGAGGCTCCCTCTGCTGGCAGCTGCCCCAGAACATGATGTTTTAATCCGGTTTTCTACAAAAACGGGGCTGAGGGATAAAGAAGGAGCAGCTCCGGCAGCGAGGGCTCTGCTGGGACATGGCACAGGGGGCTTGGGGTGCACTGCCTCCCATGGGTGCAGCAGCCCCAGGTCTGCGTGAGGTGGCACATTTGGGAGCTGCCCGCTGCCCATGGATGCTGCAGGACAAGGGAGCCACAGTGGGGACACCCAGGCGATGGTCCCTGTCCCCAAGCCCCCTGTGCCATGTCACAGCTGACCTCCCCCCGGGTGCCATCAGGATCTGATGCCCTGGTGCTCCTGTGTCTCCTCACAGCCGGTTTGTGGTGGAAGATGACGGTGCCAGTGCCCAACAGCACGGCGGTGTCGTGGGCACTGCCAGAGCCGGAGCTGGAGCCGGAGCGCTCACCCTGCCTGGTTGGCATCGTGCCCATCGTGTACTACAGCGTCCTGCTGGGGCTGGGGCTGCCAGGTGAGGGGGCTGGGGGGCTGGAAAGAAAAGTCCTCAGGATGGAGGGACTTTACCTGCTCCCCCCCAGGCCCAGGCCTGGCCCCGGTGCCCGGCTGTGCTGCCCGGCCCAGGGCAGGTGCCACACCACGGGGACAGATGGCATTTGCGTTGCTTGGGCTGGCACACGGAAGAGATTAATCAGCCCAGCAAATCCTCACGGCACTGGGATATTTATAGCTCCCCTCAGCTGCAGCCTGGGCAGCCCTGGGGTCCGGGGGCTGCAGGGGGGGCTGTGAACCCCCGGATCTCACCTCAACCAACGCTCCCCTCCCTGCAGCAAACATCCTGACCGCCGTGGCCCTGTCCCGCCTGGCCACCAGGACCAAGAAATCGTCCTACTGGTACCTGCTGGCCCTGACCACCTCCGACATCCTCACCCAGGTCTTCATCATCTTCGTGGGCTTCATCCTGCAGACGGCCATCCTGGCGCGGGCGGTGCCCAGCGCCTTCATCCACACCGTCACCGTGCTGGAGTTCACGGCCAACCACGCGTCCATCTGGGTCACCGTGCTGCTGACCGTGGACCGCTACGTGGCCCTGTGCCACCCTCTGCGCTACCGCGCCGTGTCCTACCCGCGCCGCACGCGCCGCATCATCGCCGCCGTCTTCGCCGCCGCGCTGGCCACCGGCGTCCCCTTCTACTGGTGGCTGGACATGTGGCGCGACGCCGACCCCCCCACGGCACTGGACACGGCGCTCAAGTGGCTGCACTGCGTCGCCATCTATTTCCTGCCCTGCAGCGTCTTCCTGGCCGCCAACTCCGCCATCGTCCGCAAGCTGCGGCGGCGGCGGCGCGCGGGGGGCGGCAAGGCCGCGGCGCTGCTGCTGGCCGTCACCGCCGCCTTCATCGTGCTCTGGGCTCCCCGCGCCGTCGTCACCATGTGCCACCTGTACGTGGCCTCGGTCAGGAGGGACTGGCGCGTGCACCTGGCCTTGGACGTGGCCAACATGGTGGCCATGCTCAACACCTCCCTCAACTTCTTCCTCTACTGCTTCGTCAGCCAGACCTTCCGCCGCGCGGTGGGCGAGGTGCTGCGGGGGCAGCCGCGGGCAGCCCCGCGCCGTGGCAGCGCCCACTGCCCACCCCTGGCCCTGGAACCGCTGAAACTGCTGGGCAGCACCGCGCTCTGAGCCAGGGCAGTGCCCGGCTGGCAGTGCCCACCCAGCCCCACGCATGGCACCGGGACCGGGGAGACCCCCACATCTTCCACGGAGCCAGGGTCACTGCTGCTGGGGGTGGCAGGAGGAGGGGATTGTGCCCAGACACTCTTTTGGGGATGCCGTGGTGCCTGCCTGGCAGCAGCAGCCCAGGGTGGGCAGCTCAGCCCTGCCCATGCTCAGCCCCTGGCACAACGCTGGAACTCATCCAGGGAACTGAACTCATCCAGGGAACTCATCCAGGGATCTCATCCAGGACATGCCCAGCTCAGTGGCACCGAAGGTCCTGGGGAGCCCCAGGGCTGCCCATGGTGAGGGGTGGAGGGCACAAATGAGCTCCTGTGAGCCCTGACAAGGACACGGTGCCCTCCCTTGGTGCCACTCCATAAACTGCCATGCTGAGACCAAAGCTCTGCCTGGGTCCGGCTCCCTAGGGCAGCTGGAATGGAGGCATCCTGCTGCAGCATCTCTGGCACGGGGTCCTTCTGCCCTGCCCACCCCGGTGCCCCTGCCCCGTGCCCAGGAGTGCTGGGGGAGCACCCACAAGGTGTCCTGGCTGTCCCCTGTGATGGGGTCTGCACACACGGTAAGGTCACAGCTCCCGGACCCCCCCATTAATCCACCTGGCTGCGGCCCCAGGGCAATGCCCCCCCTGCATCGGGCACACCCAGGGCTGCCCTCCCAGTGACACCAGTGCCAAACTGGTGTGACGCTGGAGGAGCGGCCGTGCCGGGCCAGCCTGTCCCCAGCAGCCGGCAGAGGGCAGGGATGGGACACTGCGGAGCTGGCACTGACGGGGCAGGCAGCTGGCACCCCCAGCTCCCCAAACCAGCCCCGCCGCCACCGTAATTCCCCGTAAGGTCCTTAACGTAATCCCCCAAAACCGGCCAGCATCCCGCCCGCATTCCCGAGACGGGGCAGGACAGAGCGGGGGTGCCCGGGGGGGATCGGGACCTCAGCTGGCTCCTGGCAGGGCACAGAGACCCCCCCAAACCCCAGCAGACCCCCTGCCCACCCCGAGCCCGGCTGTGCCCGCACTGGGGTGGGATGGGGCGCAGCCTTTGCCCCCAGAGTGTGGGGCTGACACCCCACGCACCCACCCTGCCCCCGGGTCATTCTCCGGGTTGGACAGACCCCTCCGGGGATGCCACCTCATGCCAGGCCGGATCCCTACGGGGGGACAGGGTTAAACCCGAGCCGGTGGCGCGGGAGGTACCTGGGAGGTTCTCGCTCCATTAATTCTGGCACGTGAGGAGAGCAGGAGCGGGAAGGGATTAGTTATTAACCCGAGCCGGGCAGGGGCTGAGGGGCCGCGGCCCGGGGGGCTCGGCTGCCTCGGGAACCCTCGGCGGGAGCTCCGGGATTGCCACGGGCTCCCCCGATCGCCGGCGGCCCCCCTGTGCCAACCGGTGCGTATTGACTTGGCAAAGGAGGTGGAAATGTGCTGACGGCGTCCGCCCGAGCGAGGGGCTCCGCTGGGAACGGCTCCGAGCCCCGGCCGGAGCGGCGGGAGGCTCCGGGAGGGCGGCGGGGACCCCCGGTCCGGCTCCTTGCCGAGGGGAGCCGGGACTCAGCCAGCCGTGCCACCGTGCCCGCCGTGCCAGCCGTGCCAGCCGTGCCAGCCGTGCCAGCCGCCCGTCCCTGCGGCTCCCGAGGAAAGGTAAGCCCGGAAAAAATGCGTGCTGATGTTTTCGGACAGAGCCTGGCCAGGCTCCAGGTGCGGTGCTGAGCGACAGCGCAGCCCCCCAGTGTGGCCCCCAGTTCTGGACTCAGGACCAGTTCTGCCCAGTTCTGCCCAGTTCTGCCCAGTTCCGCCCAGTTCCAGCACTGGCATCGCGGCTCCAAACCCACCCCAGCCAGGATCGGGCTCTGCCCGTGCCCGGAGGTCAGGGCCGGGCATCCCGAGGGTGGCACAGGGTGGGCATCACCCGCAGTGACCCCACAGCCTGGTGGGGATTTTCTGTGGGACCTGCCGGGAGCGGGCAACGGGGCTGGAAACGCGGGCAGGTCCCGGTGGGAACGGGAAGCAGAAAACGCCCCCAGGGGGTGGAACACGGGGGTCTCCGTGGGGAGGGGGCTGCAATCACCCCCCGTGGGGGCACGGGGGGTTCCCATGGGAAGGGGGCGAGGGAATCCCCCGCCAAGGACGGGGACGCAGCAGCGAGCGCTGGGGGCAGCCTCGGCGGGACGGGACGGGCGCCCGCCGGTGGCCCCTGCGGGGGTCACGGGGGTCTGTGCTGAGTCAGCAGCCGGGAAAGCCTCCGGCGGAAGGAAGCAGCCGGTGGAGAGGCCGGGCCGCGGGGTGGGGGCGGCAGGACGAGCGGCCTCCGCTCCCGGCTCCGCTCAGCCAGGGCTGAGCCTTTCCCGCAGAGCGAGCGCTGCCCGATCCGGGGGCCAAACCCGTGGGGAAACTGAGGCACGAGGGCCGCTGCAGAGCCCCCCCCGCCTGCCCTGCCCCGATCCCATCCCAAACACCGTCCCGGAGCCGAATGAGCCTCAGGAGGAGGGCGGGAGGGCGGCGGTGCCGCAGTCCGAGCCTGGACACGCTGTCCTGTCCCCGGGGGCTCCGGCGGGCGCCGGTCCTGCCGCCGGTTCCGGTGGGCGCCGGTCCTGCCGCGGGAGGCTCCGCTGCCCTTTCTGCCCGGATTGTTTCCATCCCGGCCCGGATCGGGGCAGGCCCCGCCGGAGGCACAGTGAACTTTCCTCCGCATCCTTCACCCTCTTGCTTCACCCTCCCGAAATAGCAGCTCCGGCCGGGAAACCTCTCCCAGGGCTGGCGGGGCCCCGGGGTGCCCCAAATCTCCCGGGGCTTTTCCCCATCCCCAGGGATGAATGGGGTCATTGTGGGGTGCCCATCCCAACTCCAGGGTGGCGACCACCCCCGGCGGGACAGGGACCACCAAACTCTGCCAGTGTCCGGGCTGGGGCTGCCCAGGTCCCCGGCCCTCTGCAGAAAGGGCTTTTCGGGGCTTTTCTGGGCTTTTCTGGGTCCTGCTGCCCTGCCAAGGGCTCCGGCTTTATCCATCAGCTGACATTCCTCCGGGAGGCCCCTCCAGGCCGGAGAATCCTTGCACGGACGGTGGGGCCGCCTGCGGAGCGCCACTCCCCGAGCCCACCGGGGCTGGGCGATCCCGGCTGGGTGACACAGACTCCGCTCTGCGTCCCCTGTCCCCCGAGGGTCCTTCCTGGGGAGCAGCGCTCGGCCGAGCCAGGCAGAGCCCCCCAGACCCATCACACCGATGGCAGAGCCCCCAGACCCATCACACCGATGGCAGAGCCCCTAAACCCATCACACCGATGGCTGAGCCCCCCAAACCCATCACACCGACGGCAGAGCCCCCCAGACCCATCACAGCGATGGCTGAGCCCCCAGACCCATCACACGCACGGCAGAGCCCCCAGACCCATCACACCCATGCCCAGGTGGGCTCCCCCCGTTCCGCGGGTTCTTTCCCCCTCCGTGCCCCGGTGCGGACCCCCGCCGGTGCGGCACCGCGGTGTCCCCGCCCGGTGCGGCGGGGCAGGTCCCGGCCGGCCCCAATCGCGCTCCCGGGGCTGAGCCGCACCTCGGGGAGGGGCCGGGCCGGGCCGGGCCGGGCAGGCGCACGGTGCGGCGGCACCGGGGCTGGCGGGGCTCGGCACGGGGGCAGCAGAGCGCCGGGCACCGGGGGCTGCGGCCGGTGAGCGGGGCAGGGTGCGGGGAGGGCGCTGCGGGACCGGGGGGCAGCGGCAACGCCGACGGGAAGGGACCGGGACCGGCACCGAGAGCCGCCCGCCCCCGCAGCTCCTCCGGCCGGGATTTGGAGGCGACTCCGGCGGAGTTTCGGGGCCAGGACCCGGCGGGAGCGCCGGGAAGCACCGGGGAGCACCGGAACGGTGCGGGATGGGTGTGCGGGAGGACCGGGCGGGGGGGACCGGCGGAGGGGCAGGGGAAGCGGGACGGGAGCGCGGCGGCGGCGGCGGCACCGGGCCGGGGGAGCGGGGGAAGCCCACGGGCGATGCGAGGGACCGGGCGGGGTTGCAGGAGGAGCAGAACTCGGGACGCGGGTGCAGCCCCCGGGGGCGCGGGGGAACCGGGCGGAGGGTGCGGGGAAACCGGGCTGGAGGGGGACGGGAAACCGGGCTGGGGAACGCGCTGGGAACCGGAGGCGGAGGAGCTGCTGGAACCCGCGGGCACGGGTACTCCGTCCCAGCGCCGTGCTGGGGGTCCCTGTTCCCCTCCGGGCCGGTTTGGGGTGCCCGGTTCGGGGTGACCCGCGGGGCACCGGGGGTCCCGGCCCCGGCACGTCCTTGCTGGGGTCTCCTCCCGGGTTCCTCCCCCAGCAGTGAGGCTGCGGCTTCCTCGCTGCCTCCTCTTCCCCGTGCCCACCGTGAGGTGGCAGGAATGGGGTGGCAATGGTGGGGACAGGGAGTGGGACACCTTGTCGTGCCGTGCCATGCTGTGCCGTGCTAGGCTGCGGCTGCCTACATGCCAGCAGGCTGGACATGCGACCTGCACTGGGCCGGTGCCCAAAGCCACGGGGAAGTGGGACGGAAGAAGTGGAAAGGGGAACGTGGTGGCACGCAGGGACAAGGCAAGGGGACAGCTCTGTCCCCCAGTATCCCCTCTGCCATCTGGGCTGGGACCACGTTTGGTGTTCCCGGGAAGCCATTGGGCACGGTGCTGCTCCTGACACTGGAGGAAGGGATCAGGAGAATTCCCACAGAATTCCCATGCTGGGAGGGATCATATGGGGCACAGAGGGGCTGAGCCTCTCCTCAGCTGCCACCAACCTCCAGGCAAGGAGCCAGTGTGGCTGCCTGGTCCCATCTGGAGCTCCGTGACCATGTTGGCTGAGGTCAGCTGCGCCAGCAGGGCAGAGCTCCCCAGGACCCCACTGCTCACCATGGGACATCCAATGGGGACCACGGGCAGGGATGCTCTGGCTGGCAGCTGATCCCCATCCCCAGCCCCATCCCCTGTGCCCTGATCCCGCTGTGTCCCACAGGGTCCCTGGATGCCACGGAGCAGGATGGGCACCACGGCCGTGCTGCTGGCCCTGCTCCCCACGGCCACCGCTCAGCCCACGGCGCCCCCGGGCTGCGGCCGCGACCTCTCCTCCCTCTACTACAACCTCTGTGACCTCTCTGCGGGCTGGGGCATCGGCGTGGAAGCGGTGGCCAGCCTGGGCGTGGTGACCACCTTCGTGCTCACCATCGTGCTGGTGGCCAGCCTGCCCTTCGTGCAGGACCACCAGAAGAAGAGCCTGGTGGCCACGCAGGTCTTCTTCCTTCTGGGCACCTTCGGCCTCTTCTGCCTGACCTTCGACTTCATCGTGGGGCCGGATTTCTCCACCTGCGCCTCGCGCCGCTTCCTCTTCGGCGTCCTCTTCGCCATCTGCTTCTCCTGCCTGCTGGCGCACGCCGTGGCCCTCAACTTCCTGGCGCGGCGCAACCGAGCCCCGCGGGGCTGGGTGACGCTGGCGGCCGCCGTGTCCCTGGCCTCGGTCGAGGTCATCATCAACGCTGAGTGGCTCCTCATCACGGTGGCGCGGCACGAGGGCGGCCCCGCGGATCCCTGCCAGCTGGCGGGCGCCGACTTCGTCATGGCGCTCATCTACGTCATGGCCCTGCTGGCGGCCGCCTTCGGCGCCGCCTGGCCCGCGCTCTGCGGCCGCTACGGCCGCTGGCGCAAGCACGGCGCCTTCATCCTGGCCACCACCGGCCTGTCTGCGGCCATCTGGGTGGCGTGGACCGTCATGTACCTGTACGGGAACCGGCGCGCCGGCCGCGCGCCCGGCTGGGACGACCCCACGCTGGCCATCGCGCTGGTGTGCAACGCCGCCGCCTTCCTGCTGCTCTACGCCGTCCCCGAGGTGACGCACGTGACGCGGCGCAGCCCCGAGCAGCCCTTCGAGGACGACGGCTACCCCACGCGGGGGGTGGGCTACGAGACCATCCTCAAGGAGCACAAGTCGCAGAGCATGTTCGTGGAGAACAAGGCCTTCTCCATGGATGAGCCGTCCTTTGGTAGGTGCCAGGGCTTGCCAGGGACACTCTCACCCCGTGGCAGGGCGGGCACCATCCTGCTGGGGACCCGGGGATGTCCCCACCGGGGATGGCATTGGACGGTGGGTGACGAGACGTCTGGCAGTGACCTGCCCGGCGCTGGCGCCTGCTGCTGTTGTGGCTCCCCAGAACTGGCCGGGCTGGGTGTACCAGTTTGGGCTGAGCCCAGCAGCCACAGGGAGCTCCTTCCTTCCCTCCCTCCCTCCCCGGCATGGGGTGCCCGCGGCTCCTGCCCCTCCACCCCGGGCCCACGAGACCCTGCAATAACACGGGGTGGTGACAGTTCCAGTGGGGACCGTGGGTGGGTGTGCCAGGTGTCTGCTCCCCACGGGGGAGGGAGGGTCCCCCTGAGCAGCACCTGCACCCGAGAGACCCTGCAATAACAAGCCATGGGCAGGCAGCAGCGATGCCACCCCTGGGGACAGGAGTGTCCCGCGGGAAAGGCAGGCAGCTGCTGAGTCAGCTCGTTAAACCTGCTAACGAGGTTCGGGGAGCCCCAGTGGGGTGGCACTGGCTCCATGGTGACTGTCCCCATGTCTCAGCAGCCAAGAAGCCGGTGTCCCCATACAGTGGCTACAATGGGCAGCTGCTGACCAGCGTCTACCAGCCCACCGAGATGGCTCTGATGCACAAGGGGATGGTGAGTGTGACACCAGGGGTGGCCACATCCTGCCAGGAACGACAGGAATGGGGGACAGGGTGTGGGTGTCCCTGTCACCCCTGTGTCCCAATGGCTGCTCTAACGGGGTGGGGACCTTCCAAGCCTTCCCGTGGGGTTGGGGTGTTCCCGGTGTTGTGACCTGCCAGCCCCGTGTCTGTCCCTCAGAGTGAAGGTCCCTACGATGTGATCCTGCCCCGTGCCTCCACCAGCCCCATGCCCGGCAGTGCCAGCTCCACGCTCCGGGCCGAGGACGCGTTCGCGGCGCAGGCGCGGCACTGCAGCATCCCGAGGGACACCCGCGGCTGCCAGGTGGGTGAACGGCGGCTGCAGCGGGGGCAAAGTCCGGCCCTGCCATGGTGAGAGGGCTGCCCGGCACCCAGAGCCCCCCCCGGTGGGTCAGGGTACACCTCCGTGGTCCTGGTGCCACCCTGTCCTGGTGCCACCCCGCTGTACCCACAGGTGCAGTCCCCGTACAGCAGGAACCGCTGGTGAAGCCCCCGTGAGCAGCTCCCGCGGCGCTGGCACAACCAAGGGCTTGCCCAGCCCCATCCCACCCTGACTGACGTGTGAATGCCACCCCGTGAGATGTGAATGCCACCCCGTGAGGCGTGAATGCCACCCCGGCTGGCAGCCAGAGCCGATTCCTGCCCGTGGGACGCCTGGACACGGCCCCAGAGCCAGCGCTCCCACCTGCCCGTCCATCCCACCTGGCCATGGACCCCCCATCCCCGCCTCAAGGACTGGCTCCCGTGAGGACACCCCCGGCTGTCACCTTTGTGATGCACAGACCCCTCTGGCACCCCCAGGCCATGGACCCTCCAAAGCTGGGGAGCCCGTGGGACCCCGCTCAGGGCACCCCCAGCGCCCTGGCCCTGCACTGACCCCGAGCTGAGCTGGCCCCATCCCACCGCAGGGCACAAGGGGACACCAAGCTGTCCCCACTCCGTGCCTCTGTTTCCCCGTTGCTGGGGAGGGGGATCAGTGCCTTGCTGGGGCTGGGGACCAACCCCCCCCAGCTCTGGCCGCCTTCTCGGTGCCTTTCCCCCCTGCAGGGAGTGGGGAGGGAGCTGGGCCCCTCGCCCTCCCTGTGGCTTTCTCTGCCAAGTTTCCTTTTCATGTTTTTCAGGTCGCCCCAATAAAGGTGGTTTTTCCTATGATGCTGTCACAGGATGCTGGGTGGGGGTCCCGGGTGTTCCCCACCCCAGGGGCTGCTCAGGTGCCCCCATTCAGGGGAGGGACAGGGAGCACGGGGGGCTCCGGGCAGGGCCCTGGGTACCCCCATGGCCCAGGCGGGGCCGGGATGCCGTGGGCAGATGGGCTGCCGGGCAGGAGGTGGCGCGGCACGGAGGACGTGCCAAGGTCGCCGTGGTTTCCCGCTCGGATCGCCTTCCCCTCCAGAGCCATTCCTGCTCCTCCGGGCAGGAAGCCTGCGGGCAGCAGTGCCATGAATTATTCAGGGCTGGAACGGCTCGGTGGGGGCAGCGGGTGCCCGGCTCTCCTTGAGCCGGAGCCGGGCTGGCGGCGCCGGGGCCGCCGGTGGGCGCGGGTGCCCTGCACGGTGTCCGCACAGGGGACACGCAGCGGGAGGGTGGCACTCGCCTTTAGCTGGCACCAACCCACGCTCCCGGCTGCGGGGACACGGTGTTGGCACGGGATGTGGCCGTGCCCCCCGCGCTGCGCTGCGTCAGCCGTGTTTATCTGGCACCTGTGTTTACCTGGCGCCGAGAGGCAGCGGGGACATTGCCCAGCAGCACCAGGCACTCGCTGTCACCAGGGCCACTGTCACCACTGCACACACACGCTGCGCTCCCGCCGCCCGCGGGCACCGCACGGCACTGCGCAGAGTCACCCCCAAGGGCGCCGCCACCTTCGCGGGGACAGCAAAGCCACCCGGCAAACAGCGTGCAGGGACCGTGCTCGGGGGTGCCAGGGGACAGCGCAGCAGCCCCGCTGCCGTGCCCAGCCCCTCCGGAAGCGCGGATCCCACCGGCCCCGCCAGCGCCGGCCGCAGCGCGGGGCGGCCCCGCTCCAACAGGGAGCGCTTTGTGCGCCGGGGCCGCGAACAGCGCAGCCTTTGTCCGCCCAGGTGAGGCTGCGCCGCGCCGGGAGCGGCCCCGGAGCCCGCCCGGAGCCGGGGGCTGCCCGCGGGGCCGTGGCAGGTGGCACCGGGGACGTGGCAGCGCACCTGGCACCGGGGTCACCGCGACCGCACGGGCAGGGATGCCAAGGGCAGGGCTGTGTGTGGCTGCAGCCCCGGGGCTCGAGCAGGGTCACCGATAGTGACAATAAAGGCAAGTGACAGCATGCATGGCAGTCCTGTGGTGTGCTCCATGTCCCCAGCACTGAACCAGGAACTGGGGTCTCCTCACGGCTGAGGAACGAGGCTCCTGCCCCACCAGAGCCCTGCCAGGGCCAGCCCGTGGGGACAGTGACACGCCTGGCACTGCCATCTGCCAGCAGAGCAGTGTCCCTCAGGAACCCCCCAGGAACCCCAGGAACCCTTCAGAAACCCCAGGAACCCCTCAGGAACCCCTCAGGAACCCCCCAGGAACCCCTCAGGAACCCCCCAGGAACCCCTCAGGAACCGCAGAAACGCCTCAGGAACCCCAGAAACCCCTCAGGAACCCCAGAAACCCCTCAGGAACCCCTGAGGAACCGCAGAAACCCCTCAGGAACCCCAGAAACCCCTCAGGAACCCCCCAGGAACCACTCAGGAACCCCTGAGGAACCGCAGAAACCCCTCAGGAACCCCAGAAACCCCTCAGGAACCCCCCAGGAACCACTCAGGAACCCCTGAGGAACGGGAGCACAGACACGCTCACACCACCGGCTCCTTTTACTCCAAGCAAGTCCCTGGCCCAGCAGGGACCCAGAGCAGTGCAGTGAGGGGCTGTGGGGCTCAGCAGTGACACGGGACAGCAGGACAATGTTCCCCTGGAGTGCCAGGGGCTCAGCCCGGCCCGGCCCGGGCGCGCTCCCGCTCCCTCTCCAGCTGTTTGCGCCTCTGGATGTCGCGGTAGGCGCGGATGACGCGGGCCCGCTCCTCCTCCAGGATGCGCCGGCGAGCCATGGACACAACCGGGGACACCGGGGACGCCTGGCTGTGACCCAGGCGGGGCGTCAGGAGCAGCTGCTTCCGTCCAGCCTGCAGGCACAGGTGGCACAGCTCAGGGTGAAGGGTGAGACACCGTGATTGAGCTCCAAGGAGGCATCACCGGCTCGCTGAGGCCACCACTGCCCTCCCAGGTACCCAAGGGTGGGTGGCACTGTCCCCAGAGCTCACCTGCTCGGCAGGACCCCGTCCCCTGGGCCGGGAGGTGATGGTGGGGGGCTGTGTCACCACCTCTCCGAAGGGCACCGTGTCTGCAAGGGAATGGGGGTCAGTGGGGGACCCTCGGGGTGCCCAGCCCAGCTCCCCCTGGTGCTGCCCCCGGGGCTGGGGTCACTTCAGCCCCTCCACTCCGTTCTCACCTTGCATCAGGCTCTTCTCCAGCATGGCCTCCTTCTTCTCCTCCTTCTTCTTCCGAGCTTTTTCCAGCTTCCTTTTCTGAAACCTGAAGAGCCACATTACAGCTGGGGCTCAGGGGTGGACAGGGAGCAAGCAGTGACTCCCCACCCCACGGGAGCCCCCAGATCCCACAGCTTTCCCCCCAGGAGAGTGAAGCAGGCTCGTGGCTCTGATCCCAGAGATCCGTCCCCATGGAAAGGGCACCCACTGCCCCCGACCTGCACCCCCAGACCTGGGCAAGGGGACATGCCACTGGCACGGGCTGGCCCCATCCAGCCCCCAGGGCCTTGCTCTCACTCTTTTTTCCTTCTGGACTTCTCTGGAGCCGTGCCCTCCTTCTCAGGCTCCCTCTGGATCTGGTTCTCGGCGAGGAAGAGCATGTGCTGCACCTCGTGCTGCATGCGGCAGATGTAGGAGCGCTCCGACTCCCCCCTGCCCCTCCTGAACCTGGGCACGGGGATGTCCCCCGGGGCCCTGGGGCCCTGGCACTGCTGCTGCTGCTGCTGCTTCTTCTCTAGGAGAGACGGGTGACATTTCTGCAGCGGTGACACCACGGGGTCCCTCCAGCCGGCACAGCGCGGGTGGGACGTCACCAGAGGGAGGGGGATGTCCCATGGCAGGATCCAGCCGTGCTGTGAGCTCCCGGGCCAGCCCCTGGGCCACCTGCCGGGGCCACCAGCGTGTCCCACCTGCCACCTGCCTCTTCCCGGACTCCGGGCGCTTCAGGGCCTCGCGGCTGCGCATCAGCTCCCGCAGGCGGAACGGGATCTCCTGCTCGTCGGGGTGCTTGGGCTTCATGTTGTCCTTCTTCTCCTTCCTGGGGAAACGAGCACAGGGAGAGGGCGCCAGGGAAACACCGGGACCTGGAGGCTGGGACACCGGGACCCAGGCACCGGGACACCGGGACCCAGGCACCGGGACACCGGGACCCAGGCACGGAAGGATGCTGGGATTTGAGCACCGTGGCAAACTGACGCTCAGGCATGGCTGGACACCGGGACCCGGGCACGGCAGAAATCAGGGCGCAGACACCGAGAACGGGACCCCGCCAGACCCACCCGAGACCCCGCGTGGGTGCAGCTCCCAAACGGGGAGCGATCCCGACTGGATCCCGCGGGCACTGACCTGCTGCGCAGCGGCACGGCCGGTCCATGCTCCGATCTCGGTCCCGCTTTCTGTCCCGGTCCCGCTTTCCGTCCCTGTCCTGGTCCCGGTCCCGCTTTTTGTCCCTTTCCTGCTCCCGGTCCCGCTTTCTGTCCCTTTCCTGCTCCCGGTCCCGGTCTCTGTCCCTGTTTCGGTCCCGGTCCCGGTCTCTGTCCCTGTTTCGGTCCCGATCCCAGTTTCTGTCGCGGTCCCCGGCCCGGTTTCTGTCCCTGTCCCGGTCCCGGTCCCCGGGCCATGGTTCCGCCGCTCCTCACGTGCCCGCTCCGCCGGCACTTCCGGCTATATAGCTCCGCCCCCTGCTGCTTATTGGTCATATTTCCCGGCCGCTCCCGCCCCTCTGAGCTCACCGGGCTGCTATTTGCTGCGAGGGCTGTCACTCGGAGCGGGGGCGGGGCCAAGGGCTGAGGCCGGATGCTGCTGCGGGGCCTGGCAGGGGCGCGCTGGGGGGTGAGCGGGGACAGGAGGGGATAACCGGGGACAACGGGGGACAACGGGGGGACAACGGGGGCCTGGGCATGGAGAGACACGGGGGAGGCCTCGGGAGGGGCCAGGAGGTGCTGGGCGTGAGGTGTGAGTGAGCACGGGGGTGGTACTGGGATGTCATGGGGGGTGCTGGGGATGGGGGGGGACAAGAGGGGCTTGGGGAGATGAGGGGACAAGGGGGGCTTGGGGGATATGGGGGAGATGAGGGGACAAGGGGAGAAAAGGGGATTGAGGGGAGTGGGGGGAACAAGGAGGGGATGGGCATGGGGCACAGGGGGGTGCAGGGAATGGGGTGGGGTCAGGAATTTGGGGTGTTGGGAGTGGGATGTGTCAGTGGTGATAGTGGGGGTACACTGGGAGCACGGAATGGGGTGTGAGACAGGAATATGGGGTGTTGGAAGAGGGATATGGAGATGCTGGGGCTGGGGGTACACTGGGAGCGGGGAATGGGTTTTGGAGCAGGATTTGGGGGTTTTGGAGGGATATATGGAGGTGCTGACAATGGGGGTACACTGGGAGCGGGGAATGGGTTTTGGAGCAGGATTTGGGGGTTTTGGAGGGGGATATGGAAGTGCTGACAATGGGGGTACACTGGCAGCAGGAATTGGGGGTTTTGAAGGGGGGTATGGAGGTGCTGACAATGGGGGTACACTGAGAGCAGGGTGTTCCTGTGGCTGAGCTGGCGGTGCACCAGCCCCGCTGTGCCCCCTCAGACTGGCCCCATCACGGGGATCTCTGTTCCCTGCAGCCCCCAAAGAGCCCCAGGGGCACCCCAGGCCCCCACCCCGCCACCTCCTGCAGTTCGGACGCCACAGCAGGGCCTGGGGGCACCTCGGACACCCCGGGAAGGGACAGCAGGACAGCCACCCCTGATGGCGACAGTGGGGACCCTCGTGCAGCCCCCCCGGTGCCCCCCCTGCCCACGCACTGCTGCGGCACCGGCTGCCCCAACTGTGTCTGGGTGGGCTACGTGGAGCAGCTGCTGGAGCTGCACCGGGACGGCGGAGCCCAGGCCCTGGCGGCCGTGGAGCAGCACGTGGAGGACGAGAACATCAAAATGATCCTCAGGATGGAGATCAGGCTGCGTGCCAGGAAGGAATGAGCCTCCCCAGATGGGTGGGGGACACCCCTGGGGGGACAGGATCCATGCCTGGGTGGTTTGGGGTGGTTGTTGTGTGCTGAGTGTGCCATCCCGGCGGTGTCACTCGAGGTTGGGTCACCTCCTGCCTCCCAGGGAGCCGTCCTTGGGGACAGGTGGTGACTCAGGGCTGTCCTGAGCCCCGGATTTCCCGGGAGCTGGATGCTGTGCCCTCCCCAGCGTGGCAAATCCCTGCCAAGGGCAGGCTGGGCAGCCCTCCTCCTCCTCCTCCTGTGATCCCAGCTGGAATTTAAGCACCTTGGGGGGATTTTCAGCACCTTGGCCATGCCCTGGTGGTGGGGAGGGCCGGGGGGGCTGGGCCAGACCCTCCCCAGTGACACCACAAAGCCTCTTAGGGGCCTCTCCGTGGGGGCAGCGTGTGGCACCGAGCACGTGGGGAGCTGCAGCCTCCCGTCAGGGGCACTGTCCCTGTCCCTGGTGCCACATCCTGCTGGGCTGCTTTGCAAGGTGCCTTTTCTGCCTCCCAGAAACTTGTCCCAACCCCCCTCCTCAATCCTGGGGGACTCACTGCCATTGAGACCCACCCAGACCCCCCCCACGTCATCCCAGGACAAGGTCCCCAAGAAGCCACCCAGCCCTGAGTGTCACTCACTAATGAACCCAAATTAACAGCCAGGCTCTGCTCTCTGCCAGGGAAGTAGGTGCTTCTCCATGGAAAACACTCCTGGATTTCTTTAATCCTATTTGTTGGAACCCAACTAATTGCAATTAGTGGCGGGGGCTGAAGTTCAATTAAAGTGTGCCGAGATTAGTCTGTTTTTAATTGCTTTAGTGCTGGATTAGGGAAGCTTTGGAGCAACACCAGCCGTGGGCAGGGGCTGCTGGACCCACCAGGCTGGGCTGGAGCCTGGAATGGGGGTCCCATGGCTCCCTGTGGGATCAGAGGACACTGGGGGTCTTTGGGAATGGGATCCCCCCACGTGGGATCTGCTGCCCACGGGCACGGGCAGGGCTAATCCTGACCCCTCCTCCCCCCAGAGCAGGGGAAGGACACCCCAGGATTACCCCTGGGGAAGGCAGGGAGGTAAATAATCCTATTACCCCCGGGCAGGATAAATCTCCCTCCCCGAAAAGCCCCCCAGAGCATCTCCAGGCCGGAGGGAGCCGGGCTGGGCGGAGGGAGCAGCTCTGGAGCCGGGACCGCGGCACTCTGTGAGTCAGGGGAGGGGACAGGGGGGTCTTTGCTCTCCAGGAACATCTCCCGGGCTGGGATCCTTGTTCCCAGAGCCGTGCCCAGCTCTGCAGCAGGGCCAAATCCCTCACACCAATCACAGAGCGGAGCTTGTGCCCTCAAATTCCTATTCCTGGTGCCATGGGCCATTCCCTGCTCCCTCTTCCCAGCCTGGGGTACCCCACACCGACCTGGGCGAGCCATGGAGGGTCCTGGCAGTGCCCCGAGGGGTGCCCAGGTGTCACTGGGGTGGGGACAGGGCAGGGAGGAGCAGCAGCAGCCCTGGTGGCCCTGGGGGTGCCCTTCCCTGCCTTTGGGGTTCACGCTGAGCTGGGCTCCCCCAGCCTTGTGGGGAGGGGGCTCTGCAGAGCCCGGCAGGGGCTGGGTGGGAGGAGAAGCTGGTGGCCCCGTTTCCCTCCAGCGGGTGCCAGGAGCCGTCCCGTGCCAGGGAACGCTGTGAGCCGTGGGGAGCACCGTGAGCCCCAGGGAGCACCCTCAGCCCCCAGGGAGCACCGTGAGCTGTGGAGAACATTGTGAGCTCCAGGGAACATCGTGAGCTCCCAGGAACGCTGTGATCTCCAGGGGAGCACCATCAGCCCTGGGGAACGCTGTGAGTTCTGGGGAACACCGTGAGTTCCGGGAAGCACCGTAAGCCCCAGGGAGCACCGTGAGCTCCCAGGAACACCCGTGAGTTCCCAGGAACCCTGTGAGCTCCAGGGAGCACCGTTAGCCCCAGGGAACTCTGTGAGTTCTGGGGAACACCGTGTGTTCCAGGGAGCACCGTGAGCCCAGGGGAACACCGTGGGTTCCAGGGAACACCGTGAGCTCCAAGGAACGCCGTGAGCCCCAGGGAACACCTGTGAGCCCCAGGGAACACCTGTGAGCCCAGGGGAACGCTGTGAGCTCCAGGGAACACCGTGAGCTCCGGGGCTACCAGCCATGAGCCTGGAGCCCCCCAAGCTGGAGGTCAAGTCGGCCACCAGGGTGAGCGGGGGCCCCGCCACCCCCCGCAAGGGACCCCCCAAGTTCAAGCAGAGGCAGACGAGGCAGTTCAAGAGCAAACCCCCCAAAAAGGGGGTGCAGGGGTGAGTGGGGAACAGCTCTGGGGTGGGAGGGGCCCTGCATGGGGTCAGGCCAGACAATTCCTCTTTCCTTGCAGGTTTGGTGATGACATCCCCGGCATGGAGGGGTTGGGAACAGGTATGGGAATGCCACCCCTTTGGTGGGGAGGGCAGGGCCTGGGGGGGTCACACCACCACAAGCTCTGTCCTCTCTCTCCTCAGACATCACTGTCATCTGTCCCTGGGAAGCCTTCAGCCACCTGGAGCTGCACGAGCTGGCTCAGTACGGAATCATTTAGGATTTGGGCAGGCTCACCGGCCCTGTAGTGCTGTGTAGATCAAGGCCCCCCCTACCCATGCTGGGGACGGGGGGCTCAGCTTGGAAAAATGCTCATTAAACCCTAACGAGTACAGGAGTCAGTGTTGTGGGCTGGGGAGGAGGGAGAGCAGCTCTGCAGGGCCTGGGATGGGGTGGGCAGGACAGAGATGGGGTCAGGATTCTGACAAGGTTTATTTGGGGCTGGACCAGCACCTCAGACATCCCAAAAGATGCAGACCCGCAGCAGCAGCACCAATGGCAGCACAGACAGGACACAGATGGGTTCAGGACTCTGACAATGTTTATTTAGGCCCAAATCAGGCAATCCCCACAGTGCCCTCACTGCCACACCCGAGCACCCTCAGTGCCATGAGCACTCCCACAGCCTCCAGCAGCAGCAGCAGAGCCCCAGGGCCTGGGGTGGGATGGGCAGGACACAGACACGTAGAGCATTTTTTTACAAGGTTTATTTAGGCCCAAACCAGACAAAATCCTCAGTGCCACACCCTCCAGGCCGTGACATCCTGGAGCACCCTCAGGGCCATGAGCGCTCCCACAGCCTCCAGCAGCAGCAGGGTGACAGGACACAGATGTGTTCAGGATTTGGACAATGTTTATTTAGGCCCAAACCAGACAATCCTCACTGCCACACCCTCCCAGCCGTGACATCCCTGAGCACCCTCAGGGCCATGAGCGCTCCCACAGCCTCCAGCAGCAGCAGGGTGACAGGACACAGATGTGTTCAGGATTTGGACAATGTTTATTTAGGCCCAAACCAGACAATCCTCACTGCCACACCCTCCCAGCCGTGACATCCCTGAGCACCCTCAGGGCCATGAGCGCTCCCACAGCCTCCAGCAGCAGCAGGGTGACGGCCCCGGCAGCGATGGCCCCGGCCTGGCCCCGCAGCCCCGCGGCCATGGCGGCCCCGCAGCCCTCGGTGTGCAGCAGGGCCGCGGCCGCCATGGGGCCCAGCGCCAGCGCCCCAAACCCACACTGGGCGTTGGGCACGGAGCCGCCCTGCAGGGGCTCCCGGCAGCAGGAGGCTGGCACACCGCAGGCCTGCACGCCCGGGGAGCTGCAGTTGAAGTACCTGGGGGGGGACACGGAGATTCGGGTCATACAGGTTCAGGGGATGGGGTGTCCCACATCCCCCAGCCATGGAACTGGACACTAAGTGTGGGTTCCAGCTCTGCCCTCTCTTTTCTGGGCCGTTCTGGGGATCCCACCACCCTAAACATGAGTCCTCAGCATAGACCCCACAAGGAATTGGGGGTTTTCAGCCCCGGAGTGAGGATGGGGTCCCACAAAGGAGATTCTCAGCCCCATGATAGGCATGGGGTCCCACACCAAACAGGGTTTTCTGCCCCGTGGAGGACATGGGGTCCCACAAAAGAGGTTTTCAGCCCCAGGGTGGAGATGGGGTTCCACAAAGGAGATTCCCATGGGGTGCCACACCAAACAGGGTTTTCAGCCCGAGAGTGGGCATGGGCTCCCCCACTCCCCCCAGCCCCGACTCACAGGTTGCTCTCCCAGTCATGGTAGGACTCGAGGCCGCAGCACTGCAGGCTCCGCTGCACCTCATCCACCAGGAACTGCAGGTCGGGATCCTCCTGGTAGCGTAGGAGGCAGAGCAGCAGCAGGTCCCGCAGTGCATCCCGCAGCCGCCGCCGCAGCAGCAGCAGCAGGAGCCCCCCCAGCAGCTCCAGCCCCCCGAAAACCAGCAGGGCGCCCAGGAAGAAGCGCAGCAGGCAGGGGCTGGCTCGCAGGGCGCCCAGGCAGCCGGCCAGGGACACGGCGCTGGCCCCCAGCCCCGCCACCACGAACAGCAGCATGGGGTCCGAGCCCAGGGGCGCCCCACGATCCCCCCCGAGCAAGGAGCTCTTGGTCAGCAGCCCCCAGACCCCCACAGCAAGGGTCAGCAGCCCCAGCAGGAGGAAGAGGAGGTTCCAGAGGAAGGCCAGGTAGCGCACACAGCGGCTGAAGGGGCTGGGTTTGGGGGAGTCAGGGTACCACACCCCGGGGTCCTGCTCGGCCGTATCATCATCATCTTCATCAAGGGAGGAGTAGGGCAGCTCCACCAGCCTGGATCCCTGCACAGACAGAGGAGCCACTCACAGCCCCCCAGAAATGTGAGCACGTCCCACAGCCAGACACTGTCACGGGCTCCTGGAGCCATCCCACACCGCCCTGCTTAGCCCCAAACCCACCCCTGCTCATCACGGGGGGCTGCAGGAGAGCACCCCAAAGACGCTGACTCTAAGGGACCCCCAGATCTATCCCCCTATGGAGACCCCCATGGATGCAGCACCCTGCTACCCAGGGCTGGGGGTACGTGGGGTACTCGGGTAAGGGGTGCCAGGGTTACCTGGGGCAGCAGTCGGGTGCCCTCCCCGTGGGGCTGGAACAAGCGAACTCTGCTCAGCGCCATCACCGCTACCTCGTGCCCGGACCCGTCACACTCCCATCATGTGAGGGGCTGCGGGCTGGCTTAAATGGGGCTCTGTGTGCCGCCCCACAGCTGGACACGATCCCCCCACCCTCCCACGGCCACAGCTGGCCCCGATCGCCCCCTGCCCCACAGCTGTGCCCCATCCCTCCCTCCAACACCGGGGGCCCCTCCGAGGCCACCGGGGGCGCTGCTTGCGTGCGGAACTAAAAAGCGAGCACTGCGGCGGGAGGGGACACTTATATCTGTAGCACCGAGGCAGCATGGGGGACCATTATGTCTGTAACACCGAGGCAGCACGGGGGGACGGCTGGTGGTGACGCCGGGATAGGAACCTTGGTGCGGCGGAACGCGGGCGCGGGGCGCGGGGCCGGGGGGGGGGCAGGCGCGAGGGCGGGCCGGTCCCGGGAGGCGGCGGGCCGGGCCGGGCCGGGAGGAGCCGGGCAGGGCCGGGCCGGGCCGGGCAGGGCCGGGACCAGCGCAGCGGGACGGGCCGCACCGGGCCGTGTCTGTGCGCCGCGGCGAGCCCCGGGCCCGCGGGCAGCGCCATGGCCGAGACGATTGTGAGTGCGGCCGGGGGAGGGGCGATGAGGCAGCAGATTCCTGTGGGGCCGGGACGGGGCACCGGGACGGGGGCCGGCGGCGGGGCCGGTGGTGTCCGGGCCGGGCAGCCCCCGAGCGGCGGCGCGGGCGGATCCCCCGTGGATTTCCCGGCGGGGGTCGGGGCCGTGAGCCCGCGGTGCCGCTGGGCTCGGGGCGGGGGCTCGGGGCTGCTCGCTCCGGTGAACGGCTCCCGGCGCCTCCCGGCGGGCTGTGCCCCGGAGGGAAGCCGGGAGAGTGGGAAGGGCTCCTGCGGGGTGACGGCGGGACACGGGCAGCTCGCCGTGCCCCCTCCCGTGCCTGCCCCGTGTCTGTGTCCCCTCCCCGCTCACGCCGTGCCCGTGTCCCCGTGTCCCGGTGTCGTGTCCCCGTGTCACACAGCCGCGGTTGAGCGTCCCCGTCAGACCCGCTCGAGTCCCAGCGCTGCCCCTGAGCGCTCCGGGGACACCGAGGTTCACATTTGTCCCTGTCCCCGAGGGTTCCCCTCCCCGTTCCCCCCGCCAGGAGCTCCGGTTTCCCGGGGGCCGCCGGAGTCTCTCCCCCCTCCCCATTCCCGGGGCTCGGGCGCACCAGTGCAGTGCCCGGTAACACCAGTTGGGCCGGTGCCTGTGTGAGTAACTCCCCTTGGAAGGTCTGGCGCGGCCTCCTGAAGGTCTCATTCCCCTCTGAGGTCAGAGCTGTGGCCAGAGATGTTTTCCTTGCAGCCGGCTGGTGCCAGGAGCGTTGGAATGATTCCCCCCCTGCTCGCAGACATCACCCAGTGCTGCCCTAGAACTGCTCCCCTGTGTGATTCCAGGCCTGTGGAAGAGGGGGGAGGAGGGAGGAGCGGGGAGCATCAGTCTGGGGGCTCAGGCTGGGTCTGTCCCCCTCCCTGACCCTCTGCTCCCTCATTCCCAGATTATCCGTGTGCAGTCGCCGGAGGGAGTGAAGAGAATCACGGCCACCAAGAGAGAAACGGTGGGGACGTTCCTCAAAAAGGTACCCAGGGTGCCCAGAGCCTTCCCAAGGAGTGGGGCAGGGCTCCCCTGGCTCTGTCCTGTGGGAGATCTGTGTTTAACCCCTGTGACAGCAGTGAGGAGCAGCATTCCGTGTGGAAAACCACACCTGGATTGGTGCAGCTTGTGTTGTTCCAGAGGGAAAATAGAAATTTAAAGAAAAAAACTCCTTCAGCTTCTCCACTGGGGCTTCCTGGGGTGGGAACTTTCCTGGGAAGGGGTTCTCCCAAAGAAGTGGCAGCTGGGAAGCAGAAGGGGAGCTGTGGGATGGCCAAACCTGCAGCTCCAGGCGTGTTCCAGGCTGCTGGATTTGAGTTTGGGCTGTTGTTTGGGTGTGCTGTGTGTGCTCCTGGTTCTCCAGGGTGGGTTTGGAGGGAGCAGGGCAGGGATGGAGTGAGATCCCAGGAGCTCCTGGGGATGGCAGGGTAAGGATGGAGTGAGATCCCAGGAGCCCTGGGAAGGGCAGGGTAAGGATGGAGTGAGATCCCAGGAGCTTCTGGGGATGGCAGGGTAAGGATGGAGTGAGATCCCAGGAGCTCCTGGGGAGAGCAGGATAAGGATGGAGTGAGATCCCAGGAGCCCTGGGAAGGGCAGGGTAAGGATGGAGTGAGATCCCAGGAGCCCTGGGAAGGGCAGGGTAAGGATGGAGTGAGATCCCAGGAGCCCCTGGGGAGAGCAGGGTAAGGATGGAGTGAGATCCCAGGAGCCCCTGGGGAGAGCAGGGTAAGGATGGAGTGAGATCCCAGGAGCCCCTGGGGAGAGCAGGGTAAGGATGGAGTGAGATCCCAGGAGCCCTGGGAAGGGCAGGGTAAGGATGGAGTGAGATCCCAGGAGCCCCTGGGGAGAGCAGGGTAAGCATGGAGTGAGATCCCAGGAGCCCCTGGGGAGAGCAGGGTAAGCATGGAGTGAGATCCCAGGAGCTCCTGGGGAGAGGAGCACGCTCCGGAGATGGGGCTGGCCCTGCTGTGATGCAGCTGCTTTTGTTCTTCAGGAAGTTCTCCCTTTGCTCCCCTCCTCTGGAGCCTCAGCCTGGGGGTTCTTTGCTCCCTGAGTGTGTTCCTGAAGGGAAGGGAAGGGAATGGCAGCAGTGGGAACCTTCCCTTCGTGAGTCACAGCTTGGGCTGAGCTGTGCCCCAGACAGGACAGCGTTCCCTGACAGCGTTCCCTGACAGCGTTCCCACCTGGCCAGGACAATCCTGCCGCTTTTCAGGGACACTCCCTGCAGCCCCAGCCGAGCAAGAGGAGCTTCCAGCAGCTCTGGAGCCTGTGCAGAAGGAGCTGCTGCTTTCCAGAGCTCGGGTTACTCAGGGTGGAAAACACTTCCTGCCAGGACAAAAGCACCTGGGATTGCCTGTTCATCTGGGGCAGGCTCTGAGCTGCAACAGGGATGTGTTTGGGTTTATTTCCTGCTGCAGGAACAGGAAAGTGGCAAAATTTCCCACCTGAGGTCTGTGTTTTATCTAAATCCAGGTCTCTCCTACCTGTGCTGTGGGTTTTAATGCTGGAATGTTCAGCCAGGGGCTGGGTTTGGTGTTTAGGGGGGCAGCTGTAATGAGAGAGGTGTCAGATTGCTGCTTCCATTCCAGGAATGAGCCTGGATCTGCTCCAGGAGTGCTCAAGGAATAAAGGGCTGGGGAATCTTCCCTGTCTCCTGGGGCACATCCTGGGGAAAAGCACCCAAAAAAGTCACTCTGGGTGTGCTCAGGATCAGGAGTCAGCTCAAACCTGCTGTTAATGTGCTGTGGGATTTGTCTGCCCCCAAAAATGGAATTCTGTGGCCTGAGGAGCAGGAGCTGATCCCTGTGAAAGGGTCCCATTCAAAGGGATCACTCAGTGCTGCAAATCACAGCTGAGCTGACAGGAAAAAAACTGCTTTTCATGGCTGTGCTCATGTGACAGCTCTTTGTGGCTCATCAGATTTGAACTGTGGGCAGGACCCCATCCCTGACTCCGACCCAAGCCATGGGGATTGTTTTTATTAATAAAAATAAAGGCCTTTCACTTCAGAATTTAGGGCAAAACCTGGCAAACAGACAAACTTTAAACACCACTCTTAAACTGATGAAGTTCTCAAGGGGCCAAATGTGCAAATTATTTTGGCAGGGAAGAGGTGCTGGAGTGATTCCAAGTGAACCAGACTGAATCTGAGCTGGGAGAACCTGCCTGGGGACCAAGGGCTGGCTGGTGTGGGGTGAATTCCATGGGAGAGAGCAGAAAAGGGGGAAAAGCAGCCAGAACAGCAGGAAGAGGTTGTGTGGAGCAGCTGGGAGGGGGGAATGGAGCTGAGGGCAGAGGTGGAGGTGTGAATTGTGGAGTTCTGAGGGCAGGAGGATGGGAATGACTTGGTGGGGATGACTTGGTGGTGTGTGCTGGGGCAAGGAAACTGGGCTAGTGGAGAAGTTTCCCCCTGCAGTCCTGCAGTGCTTGCCTGGCTGTGGCTGGAGCTCTGCCTTTGTGTGGTGTGAGGCAGGGACAGTTCTGGTGGAGTTGTTTCAGCTCCTGCTTTAATCCACTGCTCGTTTTTTCCAGGTGTTTCCATCTTTGTTATTCCGAGCTCAGGATTGGGGGGGAATTGAGCTGAGTTTCTGCAGGAGGAGCTCTCTGGGGTCACCTGTGGCTCTGAGCCCCTTTCAGCAGGCTCACACCTCACACCCTGTCCCTGTTGCCTCTGTTGCAGGTGGCCAAGGAGTTTGGCTTCAGGAATAATGGATTTTCTGTGTACACCAACCGCAACCGCACCGGCGAGATCACGGCAGCGCAGAACAAATCCCTCAACCTGCTCAAGATCAAGTGAGTCCTCACCAGGGGTGGGGGGCTCTGCTTGGAGCCTCCAGAATGGGAGAAATCACATCCCAGCAGTGCCCAGCTCCCAGTGTCACTCCTGGGATTGAGGGGAGGGCTTGGGGGCCGTGCTGGAATGGGGGTCACGGTGACATGGGACAGGTGGTGGCTGTTCCTTGGGTCACTCCTTGGAGTGTGACCATCCCCACTCTGCCTCTCTCATCCCCATCTTTCCCTGCCTTATCCCCCTGTTACCCTCCTGTATCCCTGTTTTCACCCTTTCATGCCTGCTTTCCTTCCCTCTCTTTTCCCAGCTTTCTCTCCCACATCCTTGTTTTTACTCCTTCATCCCCACTCCCTCCTCCCTATTTCCCCCTCAGCTTTGTCTCCTGCTGGAAGGATTTGCATTTCTTGCAAATTAAAGCAGGAAGAGGTGGCTCACAGAGCAGCTTCCAAGTGCCACCTGTGCTGGCCTGGTTACAAGTTGTGCCACATTCCAGTTGCCACCTGGTGGAATTTGTGCCACATTCCATGCCCTTCCATGGATTGCCTGCTGGGAAGCACCTCGTGGCTGTTGTCTCCCACAGCTCCCATAGCCCTGTGCTGTTTCCACCCTGCAGGCACGGGGATATGCTGTTCCTGTATCCCTCCAGCCCAGCTGGCTCCTCCTCAGAGACCATGGACACCTCTGTCTCCCAGAATTCCCGGCCTGGGGGGGCCCCCCAGGTGGTGGAAGATGAGATTGACCAGTACCTGATCAAGCAGGATGGGAAGATTTACCGGAACCGAGACCAGCAGCTGTAAGTGGGGGTGGCTCCTGGTGCTGCCCGTGGAGCTGGGGCTCAGCAGAGCCTGGAAGTTCCTGGGGGAGCTGCCCTTGGCTCCATCCTGAGTGCCCTGGGGACATTCTCAAGGGAAAACAGCCCCTGGTGAGCCCAGGGAGGAAGCAGATGCCCAAATCCCAAGTTTTGGCAGGAAGGACTCACTCATTGTTCAGATGGAGGAGACCCTGGTGCTCGTGGCTCTTGGATTTTGTGCTGCTAAAGCTCTGGAGTTCTCCAGATTAGAATGAACATTCTGGATTCTTCCTGGGCAGAGTTAGATGAGGTATTGGGAAGGAATTCTTCCTGTGAGGGTGGGCAGGCCCTGGCACAGGGTGCCCAGAACAGCTGTGGCTGCCCCTTGATCCCTGGCAGTGCCCCAGGCCGGGCTGGATGGGGCTGGGAACACCCTGGGATAGAGGAATGGGATGAGCTTTAAGGTCCCTCCAGCCCAAAGCATTCCAGAATTTGCTGTCCCAAGCAGGAGCACTCTGTGCCTTCAGACTCAGCCACTCCTCATAAAGGAGAACATGGAAGTGAAGGGAAGGAGTGGAAGTATCCAGTGGCAGAGGTTTGGAAGTGGCACTTGGGTCTCTGCCTGCTCTGGCTTCCCTTCATCACATGTCTGCCTGACCTCTCCATGAAACCAGGAAGTCCCTTTTGCTCACAAAAATGCACCAAAGTCCAACTTGCCAAAGCTCCTCCTTGCAAGAGGCTTAGGGAAACAAAGCAGCTTCTCTTTGTGTAAAAATAACACAACAACAAGTTAAACCCACCCAAAACCTGCTCTGGTGCTGCTAACACATCCTCTGCTGGGAGGGGGCTTTTAATTGCTCAGTGTTAAGGACCAGTTGGGTCCTGGCCTGATGTCTGCACTGCTTGTGGCCTTGGGGCTGGAACCCTCTGGAATAAGACTCCTGAAGATTGGAGGGAAGATTTTAAAGGCAGAAATTCCTGCTAAAACAGAAGGGTTTGCCCTTCCCTTGGGGTTGTGCTCCGCGTGGTTCATCCTCAGTGCTGCAGCAATGAGGAATTTGTGGAGAATCCTCCCTGCCCTTCCCAGCTGACCGTAAATGATGGGATGTCACATCACTGGAGCAATAAAGGCAGCCCCACCACTCTGTGGCAGAAATGTTGCCTTGAACTCGCCCACATTTCCAGAGGAGTTGATGGAGTTGTTCTAGCAGGGAGCCAGGGCCCAGGGGAGGGTGCTGAGGATAAAAGGAGTTGTCTGGGCTGGTTCCTGCCTTGGGGAGTGTGGATCAATCTCCAGTGAAGGATGCTGAGTGCTTTAGCAGCATTTAACTTTCCTTTCTGTACATTATCTGCCACAAAACATCCTTTAAAAACCTCCTGCAACCAGATCCCATTTATTGTTTCTACAGCCCAACCTCACTGCTCCTCTCCTGGGCCCTTCCTTTGGGAACCAGCACTGACCTGGTGTTGGTTTAGGGTTTTTTTAAAGCAATCCCCACAAAAGGAGATGTTTTCCCCTCTGTAACCCTACCCAGCAGGGCTTTATCTCCCTGATAAACACACTTCCCTGGTTGTTCCTGCCCTGCCTGATAAAGGATGAACATTTTGGGTGGCTTTTTGTTAAAATCACCCTACCTTGTGGGAAGTGAAGAATTGCTCAGAGCTCGTGTAGATCTTGCACACCAAACTTACTCCAGAGAAACTTTTACAGGCTGATTTTTCCATGATTAAATAAGATTTATTTATTCCTCCTTCAGTTTCCAGGTGAAATGAGATTTAACCCCAGTTTTCTCTCTCTGCCCAGGTGTCGCCACGGCCCCTTGGGCAAATGTGTGCACTGTGTCCCACTGGAGGTAAGAGCCCCAGGAAGGTGCCACAGGCTCACCCCAGTTCCTCCCAGTAGGAACACTTTTCCTGGAATGGTGCCTGCCAAGAGGTGGCAGCTCCAGGCTGGAATCCTGCCCTGAATCCTCACCACTGCCACAGCTGCTGCTTTGGGATCACTAAAGCTCTGTGGCCCTGGGTTGATCCTGGTTAAAGCTGGTTTTCTGCAGTAATGAGTTTACCAGAAAGTGCTTCCAAAAAGCTCCTTTCTCCCTCAGTTCTCACTTTTCCCTGGATTTTCTTGTTTTGTCCCCTCTCTCCTGGATCCCAGCACTTCCCAGTTTAACCACCTGGCACAGGTGCCCAGAGCAGCTGTGGCTGCCCCTGGATCCCTGGCAGTGCCCAAGGCCAGGTTGGGCAGGGCTTGGAGCACCCTGGGACAGTGGAAGTGTTCCTGCCATGGCAGGGGGTGGAATGGGATGGGCTTTAAAGCCCCTCCCAACCCAAACCATTCCTGGTTGTCCAGGCTGAAGCAGCTTTGGTGACACCTCCAGACGTGCAGGGCTGTGTAATTTATGGCACAAAGCAGCAGCCACCCCCCAGAGGGGATCCTGCTGCTCCAGGATGGCTCTTCCCCTCTGCTGGAAGTGCTCTGGCCGTGTTGGAACAGCTGGGCCCGTTGTTTGTTGTTAGATATTGAAAGGAAAAAACCTTTTGCCGTTGAGATTCTGATTTGTGGGGCCAATCTGTTCCCGGAGCAGCAGGCCACCATAAAACTCCCCGTTGTAAAGCTCCACTGTTTGCATCCCAGTAGTAGCTGCCTTGCAAATGAGCCTGAATTTCCTTGATTGCTTCCACATTGGCGGGGTTGAGTGTGGAACATGCATTTGCTGAGGGATCAGGGTGTTATCAGACAGGTGTGTGACCTGGCCCCGCTCTGTGCCGTGTTTTTGGCAGCCCTTCGATGAGGATTATTTGAACCATCTGGAGCCTCCTGTGAAGCACATGTCATTCCATGCCTACATCAGGAAGCTGACCGGAGGGGCAGACAAGTAAGGAAATCTCTGGGTTTAAGGGAATCTGGTTGGAGCTTTGGGTTTTTTTAACACAAATGAAAGTACAGACAGGTTTCAGTGTTTTACACGAGGATTGAATGGCAAACAAAGGAGAAAAAAGCACATTAAAAAGTTGAGGTTAAAAGGAAAAGGCAGGAGGGAAAAATTAAGTCTCTCTTTTTATTTTATGTCCCCATTTTATTTCTATTTTTTTCTTTTCCTGGGGCAATATGATTCCTTCCAGGAAACACTCCTGATGGGAGGGAAGGCCACATGGAAAGAAAGAAGTTCCCTAATTACACCAAGGTCCAAGCCTGTTTCTCAGACTTGGTGGGCAAAAGTTACACAGGGGTGGGTGGAATCTTCTCCCTGCTATTCCTCAATACCTTTGAGACTTTTAAAATCTCTTTGGGAGATGCAGCTCAGGTCCACAAGACTTCCATTTGAAGGGAACTTCCCTTTCCAGGAAGCCTTGTGCACATGAAAGGAGGATTTGCTGTGCTACAATCTCTCACTTCCCATTTCCCTCCATAAATGATTGCTCCAAAAGCATTTACTGTGCTAACAGCAGCCTTTACTTCCCCCTCTTCCTTTTCTTCCCCCTCTTCCTTCTCCCTTCCTTCTCCCCCTTCTCATCCTTCTCCCTCTTCTTCTCCCACCATTCTTTCTGTTCCATGTTTCTCTTCCCCCTCTTCCTTCTCTTCTCCCCCTTCTCATCCTTCTCCCACTGTTCTTTCTTTCTGTTCCCTGTTTCTCTTCCCCCTTTCTCCTCCCTCCTCTGCAGAGGGAAGTTTGTAGCCCTGGAGAACATCAGCTGTAAGATCAAGTCCGGGTGTGAGGGACACCCTCCCTGGCCCGAGGGGATCTGCACCAAGTGCCAGCCCAGTGCCATCACCCTCAACAGACAGGTGAGAGGAGCTTGGGCACCTGCATGGGGACTTCCAAAAACGCCAGCCAGGAGCACAAAGCCTCCAGGTGTCAGGGCAGTCCCGTCCAGGTCTTCAGGCCTTGCCAAAATGTCCTGGGTCAGAATTTCCTCCCAGCGTGAGGACTGAACTAGCAGCACTGCTGATGAATCCTGCTGATAATCCCACTGGTTTTCCTCATGGGATCATCCAAAAGGCCACTCAGGTTCTGCTGTTTCCTCTTAAATTTCAGAGTCCTTTTTCCTTCACCCTCTTGGGGTGAAGGTCCCAGTGAAGCCCCCAAGGTGCTGGGGGTGCTGAGCACATCCCAGAGCCCAGCCTGAGCCGGGAGCAGTGCAGAGGGGTGGGAGCTGAGCAGAGGGAGGAGGGAGGGAGCCCCCAGCCTCTCCCCCAGCCCTGCTGTGCAGGACCCAGCTCCGGAGGGGGGTGTCTGTCCTGGGAAGGGACCGGAGCCAGCGGAGGACGGCCTGACACTTGAACTTTGTCAAACAGAAATACAGGCATGTTGACAACATCATGTTTGAGAACCACACAATTGCAGATCGCTTCCTAGACTTCTGGAGGAAGACAGGGAACCAACATCTGGGATATCTGTACGGCCGGTACACGGAGCACAAAGACATCCCGCTGGGCATCCGGGCGGAGGTGGCAGCCATCTATGAACCCCCCCAGGTGAGAGCCAGGGCCATTCACAACTGGGGAACACACCTTTTTAGTTTGGAAAACCTCACACAGTATTCCCAGCTGCAGGCCCACAAGGAAAACTGTCCTGAGAAAAGGTGAGAGCCAGAGCCCTCAGTGCCGGCTCAGGATCAGGGAACACACAAACACCTTTTAAGTTTGGTGTTTCCAGCTGCAGCTCCCCAAGGAAAAGAGGACATGATTTGTGTCCTTAACATCACCATCCATTGCAGCTAGAGAAAGAATTTTAAACCCTCATTTTGCTTTTTGTTGTTTTTCACCCTTTAATAATTTAAATCCAGGGTAACTGTAACTGCAGATTTCACTTTTAATCTTTCCTTGATTCCTGCTTTTCCAGCAGATTCTGTGTTAGGAAAAAAACAGTGGCATCCCTTGCTTCAGTTCCTTACCAGCTCTCTGCGAAAATTGAAGCAGCTTAATTAGATAGAATGAAATCTAAATGATTTGGAGACGAAATAATGGAGAGGCTGAGCCTGGGTTTGGCTGGAGCAGCTGGAATCCCCACTAGGTGGGGCACGGCACCACTCCTCAGCCGGGTGCTCCTCACGTATTTCCTTCCTCCTCATGGTTTCTGCACGGCTGCCAAGTAAAATCCAACAGATTGTCAGTGGAAAAGGAACAAATGGCTCCTTGGGAGTGTGGCTTGAGAGCAGAGTGGCACATGGAGGTCTCTGGGGTGACACCAGTCTGTGGTGATGCCTGAAGGGAAGCCCAGACCTCTGTTTCCAGCCCCTGCCTCACTGCCCACAGTGGCTACCCTGGTTTTTGCCCAGTTCTGTGTCACTAACCAGTGTCTCTTTGCTGCAGATTGGCACCCAGAACAGCCTGGAGATCCTGGAGGATCCCAAAGCCGAGGTTGTGGATGAGATTGCAGCAAAGCTCGGCCTCAGAAAGGTCAGGATATGTTGGGTCTCGTGTCTGTGTGTGGTAGGGAAGTGGTCAGCAACTCTCTCCATCTCCGTGGACTTGTCCAACACCCTCTAGGCTACCTGAATCTTGCTAAAGTGTCAGCAGCTGTACATATTTAGGCCCAAAACCCAAATCCAGAGGGTTTTCCTGAGCACACGCCCCTTACAGGGCTGTGTGGCTGCAGTAGCAGGGGCAAAGCAGCACAAACTCCATCTTCCCTTTCTTTCCCCTCCAACAGGAGCCATTCCAGGGATCATCTCCCTGGCAAATGCTAATTTGGCCCAGATGGAGCTGGAGTTGCCTTTGTGCTCCATTTCCAGGAGCTGGGGCTGCCCTTGGCTTGTGTTCCCCTCCTTGGTGCTGCAGGGAGTCAGTGCTGTGTGGGGTTAGGGGTGCAGGTTCCCCTCAGTTCCAGGCTGCAGTGATCCCAGCAGGGTTCCCTGATTTCCTGACAGCCCTGAACCTACCCTGCTGTTTTCCGCTTTGGGAGCAGCGTTGGTATGGTGGGAATGCCAGGAATGGGATGTACACAAACAAGACTTGACTTGCTGGAGAAAACCCGCCTGGCAGAAGGCTCAGTGCAGACTGTAAACATCTGGGGAGGGCTTTGTTCTCTCTGATAAGATCCCACCCCTCGCCAGAGGCTGGAGCAAAACTTCTCAGAGTGTTATTTATTTCCATGTTCTCCCATCAGATATTTTTAATCCATGGGACTTAACATGTCACCAAGTGCTGGCCGCAGGTTTTGGTCTGCCTGGGCTCTGTGGGAGTTGGGATCAGTTCTGCCTTGGAAGGGTTAATGCTGTGGGAGCTGGGGTTGGCACCTGGGTGGAGAGGGATCATGCCAGGGTGTGTGTCCCTGTCACAGCTCTGTGGAAAGGTTGATGCCAAGGTGTTTGACACACATCACACGTGTGTGAGAGGATTCACTCCAAGGTGTGTTTGTACCACAAAAAGCAGGAATGTGCTTGCTGGGATCAGTGCTGACTCCAGTTTGGAATGGGTCACACTCCAGTATGAGCTTTCTCTTAACCAGTACATGCAGGGTTCAAACTGGGACTGTGTGAGAGGGTCAGGCTGGGGCCACCTGAGCTGCTCTGTCACCCCCAGGTGCTGGATCCCACTCCAAATTCTCCACAGGAAATGCTGGGGGTGGGAGAGGGTGGTGCCACAGAGGCCTCTTGCAGCCTCCAGATCTTTCCATGAAAAAATATTCCACAGTGAAACCTAATGCTGCAGGTGCCCTGGCTGGCCAGCTGGCATGCTGCTGCTCCTGGAAATGGGATTCCAAGGAGCAAGGCACAGCTGGGAGAGCCATTCCCTGCAGCAGTGTGCACAGGGCCGAGGGGAGCCAAGAACATCGTGTCCTGTGAGCAGAAAATGTCTGAGCTCTTCTGGTTTCCTCTTTCCTTCTTTTTTTTTGTCCTTTTTTTCCTCAAAGCAACGTTCTCCGTCCCCCATTGCAGGTTGGCTGGATATTTACTGACCTGGTCTCGGAAGACACACGGAAAGGCACCGTTCGATACAGCAGGAACAAGGTGAGATCCAGGTGTGACCCAGCAGATTCCCAATGAATTCCAGCTCCTGAGCCAGGGCTGCAGGTGGCACTGGAGTTCCTGGGAGATGGGGTTTTCCAGGCACTTCTGAAGGAAAAGGAGCTGGAACCCTTGGAAGTGTTAGGGATTGAGCAGTTTAGGAAGCAGGCAGAGCTGCTGGAGCCCTTCACATCCCTGCTTTGAGGAAATGGGGCTTGTGAAATTGTGGAATAGTTCAGGTGGGAAGAGACCTTAAAGCCCATAGCGTGCCACCATGGGCAGGGATAACTTCACTGTCCCAGGTGCTCCAAGCCCTGTCCAACCTGGGATTTCCAGGGATCCAGGGGCAGCCCCAGCTGCTCTGGGCACCCTGTGCCAGGGCCTCACCCTGCTCACAGGGAACAATTTCTCCCTGAAATCTCATCTATCCCTGCCCTTTTTAGGGCTAAGAAAACTCCAAGGAGTGGAGTGGGATGAGGGACAAACCCAGTGAGGCAGAGAGTGACTCAGAGGATGTTCCCATGGGCTGGGCTTTGTGACACATACGTGGCTCAAACTTCGACCTCCACGGCTTCCTGTCCTTGTAAAGCCAGTGATATCCATATTTGGAGAGTGAAACTTGATTTTTCAAAAAAAAAAAAAAGGTGTGTAGAGGTGGGTGGGACTCGGCTGGGGCAGTCCTGAGGCAGCCCAGAGCTGGGGAGCTGACAGGTCACATTCTTGTGCCGGGCTCCTCAGCAGCTTTCCACGAAAGCGTGTTTTCCTGGGGTGTTGGTCGTTTTCCTTGGCTGCAGCTCAGGGAATGGGTCTGGGCTACGTCACCTTGTCCTTTGGCTGATTGGAGTCCGTGCTCTCCCCTCAGGACACGTATTTCCTGAGTGCAGAGGAGTGCATCACAGCTGGCAACTTCCAGAACCAGCAGCCCAACATCTGTCGCCTCTCTCCCGATGGGCACTTTGGATCCAAGTTTGTCACAGTTGTGGCTACAGGTACAAACTGGCCTCAGCCCTCAGGCTTCACCTGAATTACCTCTTGGTAGTAGAAGAACATGCCAAAAATCACACGTCCTGCTCCCCATCTGTCCTATTTAACAAGGGGTTTGCTCTATCAACGAAAATACTTCCTCATTCTTTGTTTTATCCTCTCTGCAATACTCACTCATTATTTATTTGCCTGGTTTTTACTCTACAACTGTTTAAAGAGACTTACTTGAGGCTCAGCCCCACCTCTGTGACCCAGAAATCACTCTCTGCCTGCAGCCAGGGCAACAACTGTTGCTCACTTTTTATTTCAAATCCTTGAGCTCCAAATTCTGTTGCCTGGAAGCAGCAGTGCAGAACCACAACACTCCAGAGTTATGGATTAGTTCCTCCTTCAGGAGGGAGCTTTACCTCCCTCATGTTGCTGTCAGGGAAACCTGACAGGGAAAAAAAAATCTGTCGGGGGGGGGGGAAAAAAACTGTTTGGAAACTTTTTTTTTTTTGGCTGAGTAAAACAGAAGCTCCTGCAAAGTGCTTATGGTTAAAGCCCCTGGTTTTAGCCATTTTCAGGGAGTCTCCAGAGGCACTGTAGATGGGCTGGGCTGGGAGGGGGGACACTGGCATGTGCTGGGAGGGCTGGAGTGTTCCCAGTTCACTCTGTTCTTCTCCATGGGATGACACATGTCTTCATTTAAACCTTCCCTGCAGCGGAATCGCTGGTTCTGGCTCTGTTTAACACAATGAAAAAACCCTCATGACTTCCAAATAACATCCAGAGTGAAAAGTGAAAGTGGGATGGGACACTGCCTGCCCTGAGCCTGGCTTTGTAAGGGTTCCCAGGGCCTTTTTTTCTGTGAAAAAAGCTCTTTTTTTAGTTAACAGGCCCGTGCCTGTACGTTCCAGACTGCTAAACACATCCATCTCTCATTAAATATAGATCTGTATCTCTCTTTTATACATTTATTTATTTATTTTATTTTTTTTTATTAAACAAGGTGTTTTATTGAGCAAACACACTGCATTCAGGCCTTCCCCTGTCCTGGTCTCTGTTTAATTTCTAGGAGTGTTTGTTCTGGAGCAGTGAGTGATTGAGGTTACAGATCAAAGGGTAGAAAAGGAATATTTCCTCTTTGCTGTTCCAGCTAATTTCATTCTCCTCTGTTCAATCAGCCCAGCAGGTTCTATTTAAACACTCGAGTCCCTCTTTTTGTGCTGCAGAAATGTATTTGGATAGTTTGCCTCAACTTTGCCTTTAAATCCTCCACATGGATTAATTCCTATTCCCTCCTGAATTCCTGGCTTTGGAAATAGTAACGTTTTCCTACCATCTGCCTCCCTCCTCTCTTTCCAGTTGTATTCCAGTGACACATGACCTGATGTTGCTTACATTATCCAAATGAAAGTGCCAAACATGTGATCCTTCCATCAGCCAGGCTCCTAATTCCCACTTTCCATGTCAGATTTCCACCAAACTATCCAGTACAGGCTGAGAAAACACTGTTCAGGCCTGGCATGGCCAAGTGATCTGCAGCTCAGGGATCCTTGGGAGTGAAACAGGGCCACAGGAGCTGCGTGCCTGAGTTTGGTTTGGAAAAGGAGGAGAAACCTGCAGGGTAGTGGAGGGTGATGCTGTCAGAGCCCCCAAAAGGGCAGCTCCTCCTCCTTGGAGCTCCTGGCACAGCATTCCTGCTGTTCCCTGGGCTCTGTGCTCTTGGGATAATTGTGGAAATGTGTGTGGCTATAAACATGTGCAGTTTAGAGGGAATTCTTGCTTAAAATTCTTGCCATGCAGCCGCAGCAGCAGCTTCATCTCAGTATTCATCACTGTTAGCTTTGTGTGTAATCATGGACTCTTGGAATTGTTAAGGTTGGAAAAGAGCTCCAAAACCACCGAGTCCAACCTTAGAGCTGCTCTTCCAGAGTTACACCAGGGAAATCACCCTGTGCAGGATTTCCAGGAGGAATTTATTCACGGGAAGGATTGTGAGATGGAGCCCCCACCCCCGGAGGTGCCCAGAGATGTTGGCCTGGGTGACAACGTGGGGATCAGTCACAGATCAACCTCGGTGACCCTGGGGTCTTTAACCATGCTCTCCTCCTGCAGGTGGTCCCGACAACCAGGTGCACTTTGAGGGGTACCAGGTGTCCAACCAGTGCATGGCCCTGGTGCGGGACGAGTGCCTGCTGCCGTGCCGGGACGCGCCCGAGCTGGGCTACGCCAAGGAGTCCAGCAGCGAGCAGTACGTGCCTGATGTCTTCTACAAGGTGAGGGCTGAGGGGCTGCCCAGCTCTGGGCTGTGCCCCTGGGTCCAAGCACTGGTCCTGAGGAGCAGCAGGGACGATTTGGACCCGCTCTGGATGCACAATACTTAATGTCATAGAGTGGTGGAATGGTTTGGGTTGGGAGGGGCCTTAAAGCTCATCCCATTCCATCCCCTGCCACCTTCCACTATCCCAGGTTGATTCAAGCTCCATCCATCCTGGCCTTGGACTCTTATAGGGCTGGGGCAGCCCCAGCTTCTCTGGGTAATCTGCCCGGGCCTCATCCCCCTCACGGGGAAGAATTTCATCCAACCCTGCCCTCTGGCAGTGGGAAGCCATTGCCCCTGTCCTGTCACTGCACCCCTTGTCCGAAGTCCCTCTCCAGATTTCTTGGAGCCCCTTTAGGCACTGGAAGGGACTCTCAGGTCTCCCTGGAGACTTCTCCAAGTAAATATCTCCAGGTGAATACCCCCTCCTCTGGACTCCAGCAGCTCCATGTCCTTCCAGTGCTGAGGAGCCCAGAGCTGGAGGCAGCTCTGCAGGAGAGGTCTTGGAAGGACATGAGGTGTCACTGCTGTCCCTGCCTGCTGCACTTGGGGGTTGTTGGTGATGGATGGAATGTCATTATTCCCTTGCCAGTTGTTCTGGAGCCCTTCAGCCCCTCCTGTGCCTGCATGGCCGAGTTGGGAGCTCTGGACCAGGCTCCCTGCGGGTGCCGATAGCGCTGCCAGCCCTGGGCTCCTGGTGCCCCATGAGCAGGGACAGAGGAGTTAATTAATGGCACTGCTGGCTGGCTAATTAGCCATCCATCACCCCGTGTGTTATCTCCTTCCTGTCCTGTCTGCTCCTGCTGCCTGTGGTAAAGCTGTCCTTTAAAGAGCACAGGACAAGGAACGCTGCCTTTGTTTGGGAGGAGTGGAATGAGGGGATTGTGCTCTAGGAGTGGGAATGGAGCTGATCAGGGTGTTCTGCATGCCCTGAACCTGGGACTGGGAAGTGCTGGCTTCCTCCTGAACCTCCATATGCCAGACTGCTGGCTGGCCTTGACCCCACCTGGAAACAGGGAACGCCTCTGGGCTGAATCCAGCGCTGGAGAGGGAGAGCAGGTGGAATCCTGCTCTCTCCGGAGCAGGCAGCTTCCTCCTAGGGGCTGATAAGCAGAGCTGAGTGTGCAAAGGCTGGCCCTGAACGTGAGGAGGGTGAGATCATCTCTGGCATGCCCCCATCCCACCGTGGAGCAGCCCAGGCCGTGCCACGCTGGGGCAGCCTCGCAGGAGGTCCTGCAGGTCTGGGGCCCACATGTGGCCCACCCGGGGTGCTGGGAGCAGCAGGAAGCCAGTGGGTGTTCCCACCAGGGCTTCACTCCCATCTCTAATCTGAAGCAGGGAGATAAACAAAATGGGAACGGATGGCTCCAGCCTTCCATGGAAATTTCCATCATCCACTGATTCACTGGGTCGGGCTGCAGCTGATTTCGTGTTTCAGAGCTTCTCTCCCTGATTGCCCTTTCCAGAGCGCTCGAGGATGGCCCCGCCGGGTGGGATTCTCCCTCAGCCTCCAACAGATTTGGCTCGAGGATCCCTCAATTATTTTTGAATGTTCTTAAATCTGTGGAAAGCTTAGTCACTCCTGGCTTGGGAAACCTTTGGGGTCCCATTAAATGTGCAAGGCTTGAGGTCAGAGACACTACCTCATCCTGGGATGGTGACAGCAGCCGTGTCCGAGCCCCAGTGAGCTCCTGGAGGAGCAGGAATCTGGTGGCACAGGATGAATCTTTGGGGCCCAGTACCTTGCTCTCCCTTTGTCCCCAGTCTGTGATGTGGGGTTCCCCTCTGTGCTGCCCCCCCCCAGCCAGTTTTTGGGAGAAAGCTGCACTTTGGAGTAGTTGTTGTTTCCTTTGGGACTGTGCAGAGAAAAGTCCATGTGCATTCCCATACAATATCCAAGTATTCATCTGAAAAGCCCTTTAGGATGAAAGGATCTCTACAAATGAATTCTAACTGGATGAGGACCAGGAGGCTGATGTTTGTGGAGTGGGGATGTATTTATAGAACAGCCAGATGTGAGGCAGGACCCGTGGAACTCAGATCTGTCCGAGGGCAGTGCGGTGGATTCGCCTCCAGATTGTGAATGGGAAAAGGGGCTGCTTTTCTTCCATGGAAATGGGAAAGCTGATGGCACTGGCATTGTCCTGTGGTTTTCCTGAGCCTGCAGCTGGGTAGTTCCTGTATTTCTTTACCATTCCCTTTATGTTGGCCCCTGGCCTGCTGCTCCGAGGAGCCACCCCCATGGAATTGGCTTTGGACCTGCAGCTGTTGCTGTCCTGGCTCAGGAGGGGAGAGCTCTGCCCCAGTGGGGAACTCGAGGGGTTTGGGGACTGTGAGAACAGGTTCCTTTGCTCTGAGGTGCCTCCCCAGTTGAGATTAGCCAGGAGGAATAAGGGAGAAATGGATCCCTGCTGGCTTCCAGGGGTGTCTGGGAAGCATCAGGGCCCAGCACTGGTTCCAGCTGGAACGGGGCATAACCAGCACGTGCTGCTTGGCCAGCTCAGCACACAGAGCTCAGGAAGGAGTCCAGCATGTACAGACAGGGACTCAGATTGGGATAAGGACTGTGAGTGAAGATGATGCTGCTGCAATGGCCACTTCACCCACTTTCTGAGGTGGATGAGGGTGAGCCCAGCTGAATATTCCACACGATTTTCCATCCTGTTTTCTGTCCTTGAGCAGCCTCCTCTGTCCATCTGGTTTTAGGAAACAGCTGGGTTGATTTGGATTTCATTGAGAATGTACCTTGGGTTGATATTCAGCGCTGAGGGAGTGCTCAGGGAGCAGCTGGGGGATCCCTCCCTGGGCTGCTGCACCCCAGCCCAGCTGTCACCTCCTGGAGCTCTGCAGTGCTGAACCGCTCCACCATTAGCTTCATCAGCTGTGGGAAGAGATTCCTGATGTTTTACAGAGCTTTAAAACTCCTGGATAATTGGATTTGGGGGCTGGCTGGCTTTGTCTCTTATCACAGGTATTTGTGACAGCTCAGCGCAAACACGATGTCATCGCCATCCTCACAGTGAATTGCATTTTCCAGCTGCCTTAACGTCCCCCCAGAGTTCCTTTAGGGTGGTTTGATGTGCCTGCAGAGTTTCTTCGGGATGGTTTAACATTCCCCCAGAGTTTCTTTGGGGTGGTGTAAGACAAAGGCCCTTTACAAGCGTTGTGCAAGAGCCCTTTGCCCTCGAGTCCTACACGTGCTCTGAGCTCTGCTGTGGCTGAGCCATGTCTGAGCCCTGGCCTGGCACCAGTGACACGTGTCCCATCCCTCCCTGGGACAACGCGAGCCAGGGCCCTGCTCTTATGAGAGCCCAGCAGGAGCTCTGAGGCAGGCTGTCCCTCCATGGCATTGGAAATCCTCTTCCCAGGGAGAGCCAGGCTCGGGGAGTGTTCACTGACAGGGAAGGACTTCCCTGGCTGCCCTCCCACCAGCTCATGAGCCGCCTTAGCCTCAAATGTCCCAGCAGCTGCTGCAGGGAGGGGGATGCTGGATTAGCTCAGCAGGAGTCTCCTGGGAAGGGTTTAACTCTCCCTGACCTGTCACTTGCTCTTGGAGGAGTCACTTTGTTTCTGCACCTCAGCCCGTGCGAGGGGCAGGAGTGCCCGGGAAGGCGCCTGCGAGTCAGCAGGGGGAAGAGCAAAGCTGGGATTCACTCACACATGGAAGGACAGATGGCTGCCGAGCTCTGCCGTGCCTTCAGCAGAGGGAGCACGTCGGGAATGACGGCGTGGGATGCGGGATGCTCACGGCACGGGACGGTGACAGCAGCGTGGGACGGTGACAGCAGCGTGGGGTGGTGACAGGGGGATGCTCACAGCTGTCCTGGGACGTGGATCCCGAGCCTCCCTCCTGGCTGGCAGCTCCCCTCACCCTCTGTGGGTAATCCTGAGGCCACTCAGAAGTTTTTCCATCCTGCCGAGGTGTCTGTGTTCCCACCCTTTTCCTGTTCTCCCTCATCCCTGTGCAGCTCCAACAGTGGCTTGAAGGGCTCTAATCCCAGCCTTGATGCAATCTCCACTGGGGTGATGCATTGTCCAGACCCTCCAGGCCCTGCTGCTGGATTTTCATCCTGAAGCCAAATGCTCCTCACTCCATTAACCCCTTCCTGGCCTCCCTTTGGAGCTGCTGCCACTGGGCTTTGGGGGCCTCAGGCTGCAGCAATAACAGGATGCTGGGAGGGTCCTGATGATGCCAAGCTCAGGAGAAAGATCTTTCTCCCAACAATGCCAACTTGATGTTCATTAAGGCCTTTAAAATATAATTAAATAATCCTGGTGATGGGAGAGGAATGTTGAGGTTTGAGGGGACTGTCCTGTCAGGATTAGGGGACTTGAGGGGAGCAAAGTTCCAGTCTGTGGATGTCTTGGAGGCCTCAGGAACATGCCATGAAAAAGCAGGCATTTAACATGGAAATCCCCAGAGGGGGAGATTAAAGCCAACAGGTGCTGGAAAAATGTTTCTGCATATTAGAACTTAATTAGATTGGAAAATAAATTCCAGATGGGCTAATTATGCGTGAGTTGTTGCAGGTCCCTTCATGCAGGAGCAGGATTGTGTTTGGGAAGCTGATTGGATCTGATTCCTGTCTCTTGTGGTATCACTGAGATCTAGAAGCAGGTTGGCTCTGGGGTCCTGTGATCTCCCAAAAAAAGGCTCCACAGCTCCTCCTGCTCCTGTCGGAGCCAGAGAGATCTGAGGCCACAACCTGTCATGTGCGAGGAGCAAAGATCCTTATCAGGATTGCCTTTCAAAGGCGCTTCAAAGACTGGAAGGGAGATTTTTTACAGAGGGAACAGTTCCTGGGGACAGGGGGTGCTGGGGAGGGGGTCGGGAAGGGAAGGGGGGCTGTGCCTGGAGGGGAGCAGCGTGCTGGAGCCTGCTGGGGCGAGGTCTGGCTGGGAGAGGGGTGGTGCTGGCTGCTGCTCCGCATAGCTGTGCTGCGTAAACACCAGGGAGAGCGGGGGAGTGGTGTTCTCCGGGAGAAAACACGGCTGGGAGAGAGGGGAGGCAGTCCCGGAGCCGGCCGTGGGCAGCAGGGCCCTGCACGGTGCTCCCTGGCCCAGCCCATGGAATGCTGCTCCCATCCCGCACGGGAAGAGCGGGGCTTTGTCACCTTTGGGGGGTGACAGCTCCAGATCCAGCTCCCGCCACCGAGAGCCCATGGATTGTCCAGTACAACGTCCCTGCCTGGGAGTTATGGGCGTGTGATTTATGTGGGGCTCCGTGAATGATTTATGCCACGTTAAGTGATGATTTAGGGAGAAAACACAACCCCCTCGTACGGAATCTTTAATGAAAAGTGTCAGTTCTCCGGGATTTATTTCCGAAGCGGCGTTTGAACCCGGCGTGTTTGACATCAATCACGTCTAATTGTCAGGTTATGATTAATGAACATATGCCGGCCGTTTGTCTGCCTAATTAAACTTTATGTTCCCTTCGTCTGGCAAAGCAAAACAAGTTTACGCCATGGGATGTGCTGGTTCCAAGGGTCTGGGTGCGAGGAAGTGCCTGGATTCCCAATTCCCAGATGAAGAGTTGGTTGAGGCACGCCTGGGTTTGCAGAAAGGCAGGTTTGCCTGGGCTGAGGAGGCAGAGGTGACCTGTCCCTCTCTTTGAGATGGAGCTGCTGCCTAAATGGCATTTAAAATCATGGAATCATGGGATGCCTGCAGTTGGAAGGGATGCAGAGGGATCGTGGAGTCCAACAACCCCAAGAATCCCACCTTTACACTCCATGGGTGATTCCAAGCCTCTCTCTAGTGGGAGACAAGCCCAAGGTGGTTTGTGACTCCACAGTCTCTTGGCTCACAAGGAAACAGAGATCCTGATTCCAGAGATGCTGGAATTACAGAGATCTCCAGCCCCAGGGAGCAGCAGAGAACTGGGCAGCCCTGCACCACCCATCCAGGTTCAGGATTCTGCATGAGCATCTCCAGGGCAGGATCCCTTGGGCTTCACACCACTTCCATGCTCAGCAATAACCCAACTCTGTTTCTTTCAGGACATAGACAAGTTTGGGAACGAGATCACCCAGCTGGCTCGCCCGCTCCCGGTCGAGTACCTCATCATAGACGTGAGTATTCCCTGCACGTGTTTGCTTCCCGCTGGAGATGCTCACAGGGGAGCAAACTCTGCAATTCCCACTGGAGGGGATTCCTGACACAGATTATCCTCCTCTGCCTGCTGCTGCCAGGCATTGCCAGCAGGGAGGTGGCTGCCCTGCTCCGTGGGGTCGGTGTGGTGCCAGGAACACATTTGTTTTCCAGGAAAACACTGCCTGGTGCCTTATCAGGGCTCTGAGCTGGCCCAGAGCCACATGGCCGGGAAGCAGCAGCCCTATGGACCCGTGTCCCGGGCACTGCCTAATAAGGAAACTCCAGAGCAGCAATTAGGGATCCATCTCCTTTGAGTGACTCAGCAGGTTGTCCAGAAATGCCTTTTCTTGGAGGAGGGAATTCACTCTGGCACGGCTTGGCCAGAGCAGAGCTGCTGCCAGGCACGGCACAGCTCAGCCCCGGGGCTGGGAAACAAAGTTACAGTGTGGAAGGCAGGAAATCAAATAATTGGGATGCCAGATGATACTGCTGGAGTTGGAGGTGGTGCCAACAACCATTAGATGCACCTGGAGCAGCCTCTCAGGTCCAGCTGCCCCTGGCACAGGCAGCACAGGGAATTCCTGCAGGAGTGAAGGCACCTGTTCCTGGGATACCTGGGGTGTCATGGGATGAAAACAGAGGGGTGGAATGTGGATTAGGATCCCCCCAGAACCTCCCTCCAGCAGCAGCTGCCTGGCACAGGGCACAGCTGTGCCAGCATTGCTGTATCCCAGTGACCTGTGCAGAGAGGGGTGCTCTCCATGGCATCTGTCAGGACCATACCCATCATGTCCCTCCAGCTTCCTTAGAAAGGGAGCCAAGGGGTGTGGTGATGGAATATCACTTTAAATTAAATTAAAAGCCATCAGATCCCTGCAGGATGCCTCACTGTTTGGCTGAGCTGGGATCATAGCCATGGCTGTTCTCAGCTATCTGGACTTGCTTCCCATATCCCACTGCTCTCTGATTATCCTTCCTTAGATTTTTTCCTTTTTTTTTTTTTTTTAGATTACTACAACTTTCCCCAAGGATCCAGTCTACACTTTTTCTATTTCTCAAAACCCATTCCCCATCGAGAACCGCGATGTGCTGGGAGAAACTCAGGTGAGGGGAGATTGCTGATGGGATTCCTGGGTTCCCTGGGGCTGGGCTCTGCCTCCCTCGTGCTCACTGACATCTGCAGAGGGACAGCTGTGCCCTCGAGTCACCCCTTCCTGGCTCAGCCTTCCTGGTCCTTCCTGCACGGAGCAGTGTCTGCATGCCAATGCTCCTGCCACATCCACGATGGGATCAGGGCTCCCTGTGCCTGCCAGGCAGCTCCACAGGGGCCAGGGGGCTCCAGCCCCGTGGTGACAGCACAAACCTGCTGAGGCTGGGCTCTATTCCTGCTCCCTTCTCTTCCTGAATGGAATCCTTAAGCACAGAAAGCTGTTCCTGCAAGAGGTCAAGGCAGAGGATGGGATGAGATGTCCTCTTCTCCCTCTTTTCTGTAGGAGCAAGGCTGGAGTTGCCTGGCTCCCCCTCAGCACCTCTTGGATCTGAGATCAGCTCTGTGGGTGCTGGGGTTGGTCAGGAGGAGCTCCTGTGGGCCCAGAGATCATTTTTCAGTCAGCCGGATGGGGATCTGATTTTGGGAATGTCCCTGCACATTGCAGACAATAGTCAGAGGAACAGGAATATCTGTTAGTGGATCCAAATAGGAATTGACTTCTCTTCATTATTGTTCCTCTCCCCAGGACTTCCACAGTTTGGCCACATACCTGTCCCAAAATACTTCCTCCATTTTCCTAGACATCATTTCTGATTTCCATCTGCTCCTCTTCCTGGTCACAAACGAGGTCATGCCTCTGCGGGTACGTAACGGGGCTGGGAGGGTCCTGTCCCCACACCATCCCCCCCATTCCAGGCCCTCAGCCCCTCCAGGGGTCCCTCAGGAGGGTGGAGGTGACCATTCCTGCCATCCCATGGCCCTGGGCAGGGCTTTGTGCTGTCTCTTCCCGACCAAGCTGTTGGGAGAAAGCTTAAAGAGTTTTAAAACCTTTTTTAAACTCTAAACACAAAGCCCCTGAGCTGCTGGGAGCACTGAGGGGGGTTGTTGTCCGCATGATCCCAGAGCCAACTTGGCTGCAGCTCCCAGAGCTGGAAATGTTTTAAAAATTATCTCAGAGTCAGGAATTCGGTGGGAACAATGAGGAGATCAGAGCCCCCGGAGCTCAAGGCCAGCGAGGTCCTGGCTGTGCAGCTCTGCTGCCCTTGGCCGGGCACCGGGGCCTGGCAGCTGCCCCGGAGCTTCCCGGGGAGATGCAGCTGGGCCGTGTTTGCAGAGGCCGCGCATGTGCGAGGCAGCCGGGAGCGCCGTGGGCAGCTGGAGATCGGGATGGGAGCAGGGATGGGGGCTGGAGTGCTCCAGCGTGGAGGGATTGCTCCTCTGGAGGTGGGACTGGCCCCAGGGGTAGGGAATAACTCCTGGGGGCAGAGGAAAGGAGCTTTGGGGGTGTTGGGATCTGTCTGAATGCTGGGGAGCAGAAGGGTAAACTGAGGCACCCTAGGGATGCTGGGAAAGGGGGAACAGCTCACATTCAGGGTCCTGCCTTGCACTGGAGTGCTCATTTCCCACCTGTGACTTCCAGGACAGCATCAGCTTGTTGCTGGAAGCTGTGAGGACCAAAAATGAGGAGCTTGCACAGACCTGGAAAAAATCAGAGCAGTGGGCGACCATCGAGCAGCTCTGCAGTAAGAGGGGAGGGTCCCTGGGGCTGGGTGTCCCTCAGGGAGGGGGGTCCCTTGTGCCTTGGCTGAGCTGGCTTGGGAGCTGCTCCCAAGCTGCTACACTACAGGAGGCTTGTGGGGAAGAGGCTGTTCCTTGGTCACGGGATCCTGGAATAGTTTGGGTTGGAAGGGATCTTGAAGTTCCTCTTCCAGGTTGCTGCAAGCCCCACACAAGCTGGCCTGCAGCAGTTGCAGGGCCGGGGCAGGGCTGGTGAGGGGGTGCAGGGTGGGGTGTGCAGCAGGATGATGCCAGCCCCGCCCCGGGCTCTCTCCCGCAGGCACGGTGGGCGTCCCTCTGCCGGGACTGCAGGAGTACGGCGCCATGGGCGGCTCGTCGCACGCCGTGGCCGCGGCCATGTGGCCCTGCCAGCACTGCACCTTCATGAACCAGCCAGGCACGGACCACTGCGAGATGTGCAGCCTGCCCCGCTCCTAGCCCCGCTCTGCCCGGAGCCAGCCGGGGCGGCGCCTGTCCCTTCCCTCTCCTCCCTGCAGCTTCCAGCCCGGGCTGTGGAGCCCGGCACGGGTGGCTCCAGGCACGGGTGGCTCTGGCCCCCCGGTTACTCCTGGCTCCCTTCTGGGGGCTCCCAGCCCGGAGAACCAACGCTTTCCTCAGCCCGTGCCTGGGCTGGCCCCCCACCGCCCTCAGCTGCTGCCAGCCTGCCCTGGGGGAGCTGGGGGGCTTAGGGAGCTGCCCGTGCCCGCTTCCTACCCGAGGGGAGAGGGAGGCTTTGGCATCTCCCTGCCCACAGCTTTGCTCTCATTCCCTGCCCGCCTGAGTGCCTGGATCCCGACAGCTCCGGCACCGACCGTCCCCGGTGGCATGGGCAGGTGGCTGTCACGTTCCCAGAGCAGGACAGGCACCCCTGGACACCGAGCATGGGGTGTGGCACTGCTTGGTGAGCTCTGGCACCCCATGGGGGCTGCGGGAGGGGCATCTCCTCGGGGTGCCGTGTACCCCCACTGTGCATGGTTGGGCTCCCAGGGAAGGGTTGCAGGGCAGCCACGTAACTCGGGCACCCACCTGGCCTCCATCGTGCCCTGGGAGCCAGTCCTGCAGTTGGTGCCTTCCCATCCCTCCGGAGCGTGTCCTGGCCAGAGCTGGGGCTCGAGGGTCTTGCCCCCCAGCCTCCCTTCAGCCCCCAGCTGGGGCTGTCCTGGGCACCCTGGGCAGGGGAGAGGGGCAGGTGGGTGCTGGAGGGGCTCAGCCCTCCTCTCACAGGGCCTCTGGCCCCCAGACCCATCCTGGAGCTCCCCAGCCCTGGCTCTGGTTCAATCCCGGGGGCAGCGGTTCCAGCACTGCCCCATGTCCCCTCATGGGAGGGCTCCAGAGGGCCTGTCCTGCTCCAGGACAGCACTGCCCACACCCCAGTGGGGCAGGGACCCCCTGCCCCTCGCTGGGGCTTTCCAAAGGCTTCATCCCAAGGCCCGGCTCCGGGCTGCGGTTGCTTTTCCCCTGGGTGTGCTGGGGTTTGGGGGTGCAGCTCTGGGAGCGCCCGGGCCGGGCTGGGCTGACCCAGGCACGGGGGCTGCAAGTAACGTGAAATAAAAGCACCTCAAACCAGAGCCTCCTGCACTCTGTCACCTGTCCCGGGGTGCTCCACACTCCCAACGGGAATGGGGGAATGCTGGGTGAGGATGGGGCTGGGATACTCTGTCCTCAGGAATTTGGGGGACCCTGTGTCCCACCTCTGTCTCCTGCACTCTGTAACCTCGGGTGGGGCTGGGATGTTCTGTGTCCCCAGTGGAATATGGGGAACATTGTGCCCCACCACTGTCTCCTGCACTCTGTCACCTCGGGTGGGGCTGGCTCTGTTCCCGATGGGAATGTGGGGACACTGTGCCCCAGCACGGTGCCATCTCTGCTGTGCCATCTGTGCCAGGATGGGACCAGGATGCTCCGTGTTCCCAGCTGGAACAGGGGGACACAGCCTCCCGTGCTTTGTCACCTGCCGGGACGCTCCTCATTCCCCGCGGGAACCGGGGCACCCTGCTCCCCGTGGCCGTGCCACCTGCACTCCATCACGGCCGGGCTGGGCCGCTCCGCATTCCGCCGGGGCTGTGTGTCCGGGCTGTGTCCGCGGTCTGTTTGCAATCAGCCCCGGAGCCGCGTGCGGCCGGGCCCGGTGCCAGCCCCAGGCTGGAGCAGGGGGAGCGGGAGCGGCGGGAGCCAGAGCGGAGAGCGCAGCCCGGCGAGCGGCCGCGGCAGCGGGGCCGGGGAGGTGGCACCTGCCCTGGGGAGGGACAGCAGCCCCGGGGGACACGGGGACATGGCCCGGCTACTGCTCCTGCTGCTGCTCGCCGCTCTGGGCTGCGCGGCCAGGCCGGGCCGGCGGCCGGCGCCGTGGGACGATGGAGCTGACGGTAATTCCCTTCCCACCCTCGGACCCCTTCCCACCGGGGCTGGGCACGGGGAACGGCCCGGCTGTGGGGCCGGGCTCCGGGGCTGGGTGCTCCTGGGGGCTGCTCGTGGTGCCAGCCCGGCCCTTCCAGCCCAGAGACCCCCGGCGAGGGGCTGCGCCAACCTGACGCTGGTGCTGGACAACTGGAAATTCGCCATCACCTCCCAGCTGAGGAACCTGCTGCTGTCCGACCACCAGACCGTGCTGCCCGACTACGGCCGGTGAGGGGCCGGGGTCCCTGGGGGGATATTTGGGGTCCCTCGTGGATTTCTGGGGGTCCTTGAGGGATTTCTGGGGGTCCCTGCCCTCACGGCGCCGCTCCCGCAGGATCCCGGCCCTCTCGGGGGCCCTGGATGAGCTGTACCGGGATTTCCGCGGCCTGAAGGAGCAGCTGGGCCGGCTCTCGGATCGCTTCGCCCACCTCGAAGCCTCCGTGGAGCAGCTGAGCCGGGCCCGGGGCGCTGCAGGGCCCCCGCGCCGGGGAGGGGTCCCCCAAAACCCCCGGAGGGCCCCCGGGACCCCACCGTGAGAGACCCCCGCCCGGGCCCGGGGCTCGGCCAGGCTGGGGGGCTCAGACCAGCCAGGCTGGGGGGACGGGGGCAGGGCTGGGGGCGCTCAGACGGGGGGCATCACTTTGGGAGGGTCTCAGTAAAACGGAGGTCAGAGACATCACTTGGGGAGGCTCAGGCTGGGGGGCTCAGGGTCATCGCTTGGGGGTCTGAAGCCGGGGGGCTCAGGGTTATCACTTGGGGGCTCAGCCAGACTTTTGCGGGTCCATCCCCGTGGGTCAGGGTCAGCTCGGGGGGTCTCTGCCCCCCTCGGGGGTCGCACCCGGCCCTTCTCTCTCTGTCTCTCAATAAAGCCACTGTCGCCAGCACCGCCTCTCTGTTTTCTCCCACCGTGTCGGGATGGGGGGGTCACTCACGGGGCGGGAGTTCCTCCCCTCCCGGTACCGACCCCGGTTGCAGGATGGGAGGGGCACATGGCGGGGGGGGTTCCTCCCCTCCCGGTACCGACCCCCGGTACCGCCCCCCCTCCCCGCGCCGCTTTACGGCCTGTCGTAAACTCCCCCCCGCCCATTGCGGCGGCCGCCGCGCAGCCGTAAAGCGGAGCCGCCCGCGCCCCCCGCCCGGTACCCGCGGCCCCTCCGGGAGGGATTGGGGGGGCGGGATGGGGGGAGAGGGGCCGGGGTTTGGGTGGGGGGCTGTGGGCTGGGCGGGGATGGGTCCGGGGTGGGGGGCTGCCGGTGGAGCTGGGCTTGGGGAGGGGCTGGGGGGGGGGTCTCAGTATGGGGGGGGGCTGTGGGACAGGGTCTGGGGTACAAGGTATGTGATGGGGGGGTGTCGGGGGGCGTCTGAGGTACAAGGACTGTGATCTTGGGGGGTCTGGGGGCTCTGAGGTACAAGGACTGTGATGTGGGGGGGTCGGGGGTGGTCTGGGGTATAAGGACTGTGATGTGGAGGGTCTGGGGTAGGTCTGGAGGGTCTGGGGTACAAGGACTGTGATGTGGGGGGGGTCTAGGGGGTCTGGGGTACAAGGACCGTGATGTGGGGGGGTCTAGGGGGTCTGGGGTACAAGGACCGTGATGTGGGGTAGTCGGGGGTGGGTGTGGGATACAAGGACTGTGATGTGGGGTAGTCGGGGATGGGTCTGAGGTACAAGGAGTGTGATCTGGGTGGGTCTGGGGGCCGTGGAGGTGGGACTGGGGGGCTGAGGTTGATGTTTGGGAGGGGGCTGCTTGTGGGGCTGGGCCTGAGGGTCTCATTGGGGGGAGAAGAGGCTGTGGGGGACAGGGGTCTGCAGGGCTGTGTCAGCACACACTGCCCACCGCTCGGGGGTCCCGGCTCAGCCCCTCACAGCCTCGGTGCCCCCTCCCCACGCCCCCAGGCCGGCACCATGGCGCAGGTGGGGCACAGGGTGGATTACCTGGCCGGATTCTGCTGCCCGGTGGGGGGGCTGGTGGCGGGCAAGCCACGGGTGCTGTGCCACGAGAACGAGATCTACCTCTCCAACGGCACCGAGTTCGTCTACGTGTACGACCAGGAGGGCAAAGTGCTCAAGGTGAGGGGCTTGGTGGGGTGGGGGTTCACTGTGCCCCCCATCCCGTGGGGACACCCCTTTCCCTATCCCTGGATTCCCTCTGTCAGCATCCAACAAACAAACCCTACAAGCAGCACTCTTTTCTTTGGGGCTTGTTGGGGTTTGGGGGTGCTGCCAGCTGGCCCCTCTCCCAGTCCTGTGGGACACACAGACTGCACAGGGGCTTCTCTCCCCTATCCCCCAGGCCTGGCTGCCGTCCCCGCTGTCACTGCGCCCTGACTGACACGCTGCTGCCTTTGTTAATTTGTTCTGATTACCATTTCTAAGAAATCCACCGCTGTACGAGCGGGATCTGCCTCCCACACTGCGCTCCCGCTCGGCAAAGTAGAGCACGTACCCTGCTCCCTGTTTTCCTTCCCCCCAGGGAGCGGGAATGACAGGCTGCCTCAGCCCCTCTGCCACCCCGCAGCCCGGGAACACCCAGCTGGGTGCTGCCCAGGGATCCCTTCGTCCCTGGAAACCGCTTTGGATCCCCCTCTGCAGGGAGCCGCCTTGTCCCTGCCGCCCCCGCGGGTGCCGTGGGAGGTGACATTTGGTTGTGTCCCCCCTGCCAGGCTGTGTTCCGCTGCCCCGACCAGGTGTGGCACGTGGAGCTGCTGCCCCAGCCCCGGCAGCTCTATATCCTGTGTGCCCACAGCGGGATTTACTGCGTGTCCCTGGAGCAGCAGAGCAGGTGAGCGGTGGTGACCCCATCCCAGGGCTGCCCTGCCTGTCAGGCTCTGGATCCGTCTCTGCCGGTGCTAACAGCTCTCCTGCAGGAGCTCACTTCCCAGGGCCGGGCAAAGAGGCGGCCAAGGCACACGCTGGCTTCTCCCCTCGCCTTGGCTCTGAGCTCTTCCCTGTTTTCCCAAAGGTTAATGGAGCAGACGGACGGCGACGGCCAAGAAAGCAACGGCCCCTCCGGCGTCTTCCCGGTGGAAGCGGACGCCTGCATCTTCCCCGACGCCAGCCTGAGCATGTTCACCCTGCTCAGCACCTTCGTCATCACGCTGGCCCAGGACGAGGGCAAGTGGTGGATGCGGCTGCACGAGCTGCCGCGCCCGGAGCAGGACGGGCCCCCGTACCGGCAGGTCAGCCAGGTGGAGTTCTGCCCCGGGAGCCCTCCCGGGGACGGCGCGGGGGACGCGCCGCCCTCCTGCTTCCTGCCCGTGCTGTGCTGCGCGGCCGCGCCCGGCACCCAGGGGCTCTGGTGCTCGGGGGGCTTCGTGCTGGAGGAGCCCCTCTTCAGCCTCCTCTTCGGCATCGACGTGGCCATGCTGGAGTCGCCCATGATCCTGTGCGGCTTCCCCGACGGGCAGCTCTGCTCCGTGCCCCTCAAAGCCCTCAGCTCCTCGCCCGCTGCCGACGGCTGCCGCGACGTGTCCACGCCGGCGCCGCCCGTGAAGATCCTGCACCACCTGGAGGAGCCCATCGTGTTCATCGGGGCGCTGCGCACCGAGCGACGTGGACACGATGATGACGACGACAACGACGACACCGACACCGAGGCGCCCGCGGGCGAGCCCGGCTGTGACTGCGTGGTGGCCGTGGGCCACTACGGGAAGATGGTGGCGGTGAAGGCGGATCAGCGGGAGGAGGCCACGGTGCCCGAGCTCAGGGAGTATTACCTGCGGGGCCCCATCCTGTGCGCGGCCTGCGGCAGCGGCTCCCGCATGTACTACAGCACCCACTCCGACATCTCCGCCGTGGACCTGGACTGGGCGGGCGACTCCTCGGACCCCGAGGACACGGAGAGCGGCGCCGGCGTGCTGCCCCCCGTGCTGTCCCCGGCCAGCCTGAGTATCTGTAGCGTGGTGGCGCTTTCCTTGTCCTCCCGGGCCTCGGAAGGTACTGCGGGCAGCGGGGTGGGATCTCAGCTCTCCTCTATCCAGCTCTATGTTGGGTGGGTGGGGCTCCATCTTTCATCCTTGTTGGCTCCCCTTGGTTTTGTAAGTTGTGATCTTCATTGTGATTCCTGCTCGTCCCTGCTCATTCCCAGTGCCTCAGCTTGGCATTGCAGGAGGTGGCCAGCCCGGGCAGCTGTGGGACAGCCCCAAGCTCGGATCAGGCTCCCTCCAAAATGAGGTGTTCAGTGTGCCTCTGGACTGGCTGCCCACAGAGCCTGTGCCACCAGCAGAGCCCGTGTGTGACAGCTGGGTGCTGCTGGCCTTGGCTGGGCAGTGGCAGGCACAGAGTGGTGTTCCCTCTCAGGGCTCTGTGTGTGAGCAGGTTGTGCTGTGGTGATCCATGTCTGTCTCCATCACATCCCGCTGCCTTGGGGAGGCAGTGCCATGCTGCTCCCTGTGCCCCCCACCTCAGCCATCCAGGAGGGCCCTGCTCCCTTCCTGGCCCCTGACCCCCCTGTCTGTGCCTGCAGGGGAGTCAGAGCTGTTGGCCCTGTCGGCCAAGGGCCGCCTGGTGTCCTGTGGGCTGTGCAGCCCCGAGGAGCCGGACGTGGAGCTGACCCCAGCTGAGATCGGCCGGAGGATCAAGGAGCTGCTGTCGGGGATTGGGGACACCTCAGAGAGGTAAAGGTGGCACGAAAGCTGGGGGTTGTGCAGGTCGTTGCCAGTAATTATGGTTTGGGTAAGAGAGACCTTAAAGCTCATCCCATTCCACCCTCATGGGCAGGGACACCTTCTGCTATCCCAGGGTGCTCCAAGTCCTGCCCAACCTGGCCTAGAACACTTCCAGGGATCCAGGGGCAGCCATAGTTTCTCTGGGCATCCTGTGCCAGGGCTTCACCACCCTCAGAGAGAACAATTCCTTCCCAATATCCCATCTAACCCTGTCCTCTGGCAGTGGGAAGCCATTCCTATTATCCCTCACTCCAGGCCCTTGTCCAAAGTACCTCTCCAGCTCCCTTGGAGCCCCTTTAGGCACTGCGAGGGGCCCTAATGTCTCTCTGAAGCCTTTTTTTCTCCAGGCTGAACACCCCCATCTCTCCTCAAGCTTTTCTCTTGGAAAACCACTCCAGCATTTACCTTTCCTGGCTGGGAAGCCCCCCCAGGCTCGATAATATAAAACCAGTGTTTGAGGGCAGCCCCCTCCCATGGCACAGCCACCCCCAGCACCGTGGGCGGGCTGGCAGCGGCAGCCATGGCAGCAGAAGGTGGCACAGGCAGGGTGCCAGGCGCCTGCCACGCGTGCCAAGGCGGCAGTGACAGGCAGGGCAGGCACATGCCTCCATCCTCCGTGGCTGGCTGTGTGGGGAGGGGCTGTGGGTGAGCCCCCCTCCATCCACAGGGGGGATTCCTGAGGTCTGGCTGTCCTGAGCCACTCCACAGGCTCAGCTCTGATGGAACACGGATCTGTGCTGCCATGGCAGAGAAGCTACGGGTTTCCTGTGGCGGGATCACGCCAGGAGCAGCTCAGCTTGGCAGCACAGCGCCATCCCGGTGTCCCTCCCGTTGTTCCATCCCTGTCACGTTGTCCTTGCAGAGTGTCCTTCCTGAAGAAGG